TGTGATCAAAATACCGAGAAAAAGGGATGCTGTGCTAATGCATTAACAAAAGGACTAGATGAGAGGATCTGTACAAGCAAAGCCTAGGTAGCTTGCCACATGTTGGCAAAAGAGCATAAAGAGTGGCACAGGATTAATCTAATAAATTAAAGCAAGTATTGTGGGCAATTTATTCATTGTTTTCAGAAGTTAAAATTGACTGAGAGGTAACTACTAGTGTTGAGGGGTGGGACAGCTGCCCAAGAATCTGTTTACTGATATTTGCTGGCTGTCAGAGAGAGCTGTTTATTTTAACCACTGACAGTAGAAAGAGGCATGGTTTTATTAGAAGCCTAAGTATCACTTAGTATTTTTAAGTGAGTTAGGGTATGTCTAACAATTATAAATCAGTTTTTAAATTAGATTACAAGTTCAGCTCATATCACACATAATATCAGCACTATGTTCAGATAAGAAAAACAATCACATTAAAATGACAATAAGAACATATCAGGTGGGGTCAGTGCTGGTTCAGATTTCAAACAGCTATCAGTGGCAAGTCAGCATAGGCATGAGCTTACTTGGATTTTTTTTTTTTTTTATTATTGAAAGGTACTTCAGAACACTCAGTCTGTAGAGAGGGGAATGCAGACTGAAGGTCACATACAAAGAGAAAAGGAGTATATGCTAGAAATTTGTGATTCTGGAGAAGTTTTAAAGGACAAAACCGTCAGTAAAGGACATAACTGCTGTTATGAAGGAGTTATGTCAGCTCTGTGCCTTACTTAAAAGGGGAGTACTCAGGATCAATAGAGAGGTGATATTTACCTCTTGTGTGGCTGATGATGGGATAACACTTAAGTTCTGATCTATCTTTATTGAAAAATTGAAATGGGATACGAAAAGGAAAAAAAAACAAACACTCTAAGGGATGGAGTGTTCAAGGCTATGAACCTTATCCAAAGAATGTTATTTACACAATTACTATAAGAATATACCAGGAAACAACTTGCTTTTTAACGCAGAAATGGTACTAAGAGCTTCAAACTCCAACTGGAAACAGACAGCGGTTTCAGCAGTTGAGTTGTAAGAGCACTGGAAGATACTCCGACAGAGGAAGGTGCATTCTCCTACTGCTACTGTGGGCACGGAGGGTCTCTCAGAAGCTATGCCACTTGCACAACATGGAGTTTCTCTGTAGTTTTTCTGCAACCTCAACTTAATGTTAATTCCATCCTAAAAATTATGACTTGTGACAGCGATAAGGCTGCAAGACATGAACATAGTTCATTACTCACATGCTTTTTATTACTCCTATGTATACCTATAGATTTGCATCGAACCTGCATGGGTGGCTTCACTAAAAAACTTCACTCTCCATGGATGGTTTAGTTTTAGCTTTTAATTTACTTTCATGTTGTAAAGTACATAAAATATGCTTCTCCCTATATTATTTCTTTCAAAACATGACAAACAGAGGAACTCAACAGAGATGAGAGAAAATCAAAATCAATTTTTGGCAACTTTCAGCCCTGAATTTGTAAGTATCTTTGTCTATTAACAGCACTGGGACTAGGGCAGCGTATTGGTAGATCTCCAACCCTGAGAAGTTTTTTTGAGAGTGCAGTACAGAAAAATGGTAAATATGCTGAAGTTTTTTATTTATACCATTTTTATTAACACACAAATGCAACCAAACAACTTTATTCTTGTAACATAGCCCTATATGTTGTAAGTAGTGTAGGAAAGTCCCTGTGTTGCCTTCCATTTAAACCAGCGCAGATCTGGAACAACTGCAAAGCTCTTAACTCTGTAATAATGTTCCTTTTCAAGACTTTTTATTTTTTTTTTTGTCAGTTCTAACTAAGCTACAGTGAAGAGGGGTTTTGTTTGTTTGTTTGTTTGTTTGTTTTTAATTTGCTATTGCTTTCTAGATGGCTGCTAAACCCCAGGCAGCTACTAACTATACATGAATCTAAAGATCTGGCAAGTGAGAAAGACTGGTGGAATGAATTTATGCAGAATTTGTGTTTGTGGGCAGGTTTTGGCTAGGATAGTTAATTTTCTTCATAGTAGCTGGCATGGGGCTATGTTTTGAATCTGTGCTGAAAACAACACTGGTAACTCAGGGATGCTTTCGATATTGCTGAGCAGTGCTCACACAGAGCCGAGGCCTTTTCTGCTTCTCACCCCACCCCACCAGTGAGTGGGCTGGGGGTGCACAAGGAGCTGGGAGGGGACACAGCCGGGACAGCTGACCCCAACTGACCAAAGGGATATTCCATACCATATGGCATCATGCTCAGCATATAAAGCTGGGGAAGAAGAAGGAAGGGGGGGACATTTGGAGTGATGGCGTTTGTCTTCCCAAGCAACTGTTAGGCACGATGGAGCCTGGCTGTCCTGGAGGTGGCTGAGCCCCTGCCTGCCCATGGGAAGAAGTGAATGAATTCCGTGTTTTGCTTTGCTTGTGTGCATGGTTTTTTTCTTTACCTATTAAACTGTCTTTATCTCAACCCACTAGTTTTCTCACTTTTACCCTTCCAATTCTCTTCCCCACCCCAAGGGGGGCGAGGGGCGAGAATTGAGTAAGTGGCTGGCTGGGGCTTAGTTGCCAGCTGGGGTCAAACCATGACAAATTGTAAATGCAGCCTCTAGCTGTGTGCCACTAAACCCTGGGCTGATGCCGCAGCTGCTGAGCTTCAAGAGAGCAGCTGCTGCAGATGAAGCTCCATCCTCGTTCTGGTCAGACGCAGTGTGAATGCCTATGCTGCCTCTCCTCAGCTGAATTTCTTTGCCTTTTAAAAATTCCCACTGCTGTCTCTGTTAGGAGGGAGAGACACTAATGATGTGCAAGAAGAGACAGAAAATTAAGTGGCAGGAGGAATGGAAAAAAGATTGTGCACCACCCTTATCTACAATTTGAGTTTGTGCACCTGCAGTTCCACATCTCATCAGGAAAGAACGCTAGGTTTTTTCTGCTGCAATCTCAGCCATGTTGCTGTTACTGAATAGTCATTAATTCTGCAATTTCACTAATAAGTGTTAGAAACAAAATTAAGAATCTTGAGAAAATGCAACAATTTGGTTTCATTAGTCTGGCTGTGGTTTTCGTTTGGCCTCTTCTGCGTTTGGTATAAGAGCTCTAAAATCTTTCCTTAGAGGACAGAGCACAGGAGATGTGGTTGAAGTGGGGTATTGGCTACATGAGGCTTCTTTCTTTTAGAGGGAATCTGAATGCAATTTTTTTTTTGTAAGGCTAAGAAGAATGAACTAAAGTGTGACTCATTCTCCCTTTTCAACAGCAGTGTAATTAGCAGGAGATGGGAAGCTCCCAACTTGTCATTGTGCTTACTCACTTTTCTGATCATAATCACGACAATGCATAAGCTTCAGTTCTATATTTTTGAGAGGAAGATGACAGCACCATTAAACTTTTATGACCATTGCTGGAGAGAGACAGCACTGTCCAAGATCATAGTTCTGCCTGGAAGGAAAATGATGAAAACCGTTGGTTTCACAGACGCCTTGACTTGCACACAACCCCCATTCGAGTGCAAGACAAGTGGATATGAACCACCCAGAGAGGATCATGCTAAAGAGTAAGTGCTAGAGAACTAGAAAGGATCCACCAAAACATTTTAGGGTGCAGGCTGGTGACTTCATTGCACAGGTGTGTGAGTTGTTTCCTAGTACTGTATTGAAAAATTAAGCCATGCCATTCATTAAAGCACTTGATTACCGTAAAGATGATTAAAAGCCATGAAGATGGTGAAGGGACTGGGGCATGTGACATATGAGAATAGACTAAGGGAGCAGTGATTGCTTAGCCTAGAGAAGGTTCATGGTTGTCTTCGGTTGAGTGAGTGGTGGAGTTTTTTGGTGGCAGTGGTTGGCTGCCAATCAGGCCTAAACCTCGACAGTGGTGCTCTTACCAATAACTGATGGTGGGAAGAAAGATGGTGGAGTGAGGTTCTTCTTGGTGCTGTCCAGTAACAGGACAAGAGACAATGGGCACAAACTGAAGTAACAGGAACTTCCATTAGACATGAGAATTTTTTTCTTTTTTTTCCTGTAGCAAGGGTGATCAAAGACCAGATCAGCTTGTCTACAGAGGTTGTTGAGTATCCATCCTTGGAGATACTGTAGACCCAACTCATGTCCTGAGCAACATGCTCTAGCTGACCCTGCTTCAGCAGGCCTCGATGATCTCCAGACATCCTACCAACCCTCAATGATTCTGTAATTTCCTGTGCTTTGATAATTGCAAGCAGCAGAGGTATTGATTTCACATAGTCTTAAAAGGTCTTTTTAAGAAGCTGCAGCTCACAAGGATGGGAATGGTGTGAGAGGCTGTCCAAATCCCTGTAGTTTTAAGGCACTAGCTCTTCACCTCCTGGCAGCTGAGACAGCACCTCTCACTGCCCAGCACCAGGAGCCGGAGGTCTGGCTACCCAGGGCCACTCGCCCCATTTGCAGTGGCTCCCCTGGGGAGGGGGGCCTTGGGCCTACCCACGTGCAAACACGGTGGCCCTTCCCCCTTCCAGCATGGGGCAAGCCACCCTTCTCGCCTCTCCTCACCCTCCACAATTAACGTTCCCTCCGGAGATGTGCGCGTTCCCGCGAGGCAAGCCGCACAAGGAGGTTACTCCCAACTGGTGCTCAGACTTTGCCTCTGCCCCCCCGCCTCCCCTCGACGCCCGCAGACGCGCACGCTGGCCCGGGGGCAGCCGCGACCCCCGTCCCCGCCGGGATCCCCTCAGGGCGAGCGAACCCTTCCCGCCCCTGCGGCCGCCCGCGGCGCCCATTGGCCCGGGTGCGTCACGTGGCCCTGCCATGCCGCCCGGGCGGGCTGGGGCGCCGCGGCTGCTGCTGATTCATTGGCTGTGGCGGGGCGGGGCGGGGCGGGGCGTGGTCCGGCTTGGCTCTGCTCAGCTCGGCTCGGCTCGGCTCGGCTCGGCAGTTGCCGCCGCCCGGTCAGGTAGGAGGGTCGGGGCGGGCGTCGCCTCTCGCCGGTTTCATCCCGCCCGGTTGCCCCGCGGCGCTGGCTCGTCCCGGGCCAAAGGTGCGACCCCTCTTCCTCCGCCAGCCCGGGACGAAGTGGCGGTTTGAGGGGGGCTGGCAGCGTGCGGGGGGGGCGCGGGCGGCGGTGGCCGGTGCGGGTGAGCGCGGTGAGGGGACGGCGCTGAGGCGGAGGGCGGGAGGGACGGGGCGGCCCTGCCTCGCCCCGCGGTGGGGCCCGCCGGCTGTCCGGTCGGTCGGTGGGTGCGTGGGCGGGCGGTGTGGGAGTCCCCGAGCGCGGCGTGGGGTGCCGCTGCCCCGAGCGCCGTCGTTCAGCCCGCGTTAACAGGCGGCTGGGTGGTCTCGCCGCGGAGACCTGGTGACTTTTCGCGAGCCTGGACTATACCTTTTAGTTTTTTGAATTTTATTGAAAATAATGAAAAGAAAAGCTTGAGGTGAGTCTTCATTTGGGTCGTGTGGAAATGTTGCCTGCAGAAAGCTTAAGTCGCATTTCCGAGTTAGGAAGTCTGTGTATTGAAAAGCAGAACGGCTGGAAAGCACACAGCTTGCTTGGAATACGTGGACATTTTTTTCAGTCCCCCCAGATTGTATGTTGTGTTCTGCTTTGACTGCTGAGCATTTGGATAAACTTAAACATTTAATGTAAAATGTTTGCAGAAAAAAAAAAAAAAAGGCAAGATGAGTTTGTGGTGTTTTTGTTGTGTTTTGTTTTTTTTTTTTTTTCCAAAGTGATGCATCCCTTTGTGTTTTCAGACTGAAACGATGAACCTCTCCATGCAGCCTTAGATTACTTCTCCTGTCACTTTTGCCCTCTTCCTTACCCCCCATGTGCTCTTCTCCAATCTACTGATTCTCATACACTTTTTTTTTTTTTTTCCTTCCCGCCCCTTCCTTCTCCCTTAACAACCCCCGTCTTGGCAGATTTTTCCTCTGGCAAGCAGCCTCTGTTGACAGTGACTGGTGTGGTAGGCACCTCAGTCCCTGTCTGCCCTTCTTTTTGCTGGAGATGATCACCATGATAACAAGCCATCAAAACTTCCCTCTGAACAGTCTCTGTTCCCTGGCGCTTGCCTTGCTCGTCCTGGCTTATCAGCCTCATCCAGCGCCCGCTTACCGCTGGACGGTGGCTGGGAGCGTAGGCACGCTGTTAGTTTGCCACTTCTGTGACAGGCGTAGCTGGTAGAGGGATGGGATAGCAGTAGCAAGGCTGTCTTAAACCGCCTCGGTGAGGCGGGTTGGCGTTTGTTTGTGAGAACATTGAGGCACTTCCATTTCCAGGTGTGTTTCCCAGCCTTCTGCTCTGTTCTGTAGCCGTTCCCTCTGCTCCTGTCTGTTCTCATTTGAGCTCGCTGGAGGCTGTATACACAGGGATGCAGATTTACGTAACTGCTGTGGAAATAAATAGGTGGTTTTGTTTCTCTTTGGAGATAATTAGGTAATAGTCTCAAATACTGCTTGTTTTTCCCTGTTCATTTGTGGTTTCCTAATCAGAGAGTCAAGATAAGTTTTTACCACAGGAGTAAATACTTAGAAAGATGCCAGGAGAATGGTAACTCTCCATTGACTGAGGACAGTCTGGCTCCATTCTTGCTGAAAATAATGAGACATTCTAGGTGTATCAATTGCAAGCAAAAATATACAAAATAAATCAAGCTATTGCGAGAGAATACTTTTTTATTTTTGTAAGGGAAAAAAAAAATCCAGAATATTAAGAGCTGGAAAAGTAATTTACTACCTATTCTTTGCTGGTTGTCCACACACTTTCTTGTGGAAGAGGTTTTAAGGTAAAGCACAGATGATACTCTTGCAGCTTGTTCAACAATTTAAATAAAATTTGCAGTCTTTGAACCAATAATATGATCTATTACTGGCAAAATTTTAGTACAGATTTTAGTACAAATAAATGATGGGTTTATTCTTCGTACTCACTGCAATGGGCTTTGGTTGTACTGTTTTAATGATGTTTCCTTGATGTAGTTACCTGCTTATAGCCTGGTGTAGCACAGAGACATGGCAGGAATTAAAAATGGCAGAATTCAGGTGTGTGTGTACGTCATGTACTGCTGTCTGATTTACCTGAAATTTGTATTTGAGGCACTGCAATATTTTGTTTTCTTCTTCAACAGCACTGGAGGGAAGAATTAGATTTAAAGACAGGAAAAAAGAGTTTTGGTTTGAAAAAATCCCAAATCAGTTTTACTTTTATTAAACAGTCACCAAAATGAAGCTGTTTGAAATTCTTACTGAACCGATTAGGGCAAAATTTCTGCGTTGTATTGTAGGCTAACTACAAAAGTTTGGAAAATGTTTGTCATTTAAGTGTGGAAATTTTCAAGGAAAGTTGTATTTTTTTATTTGTTAGTTCTTGAGGAAACTTAATACATAACTGACTTCTCAAATTGAAAAACTCAGGCGTTACTTTGTGTCTGAGAGATTATGGTTTTACAGACCCTGTGTGTATGAGAGCATAAACTGAAGATTTTTCCACCATAGCACAGTCAAACCACAGCTGTGAGATACCAGAGTGTGGGAGTAGTTCTGACCAAATAATCTATTGTACCTGTTTTGTTTCAATTTTTTTTTTTGGTTTGTTTGTTTGCTTTTTTGTTTTTTGTTTTTCCCATCTCTGCCAGTTTATCTTCTGTTGGCTTCAGCGCAGACAAGGAACAAAATTATTTCTGTGGGGAGAGCCACCGAGAAGTGAAGAGGTGCTATGAGAGGTATGCTGTGTCCTGTACTTCAGGCCAGATAGATATTGCGTGATGATTAGAGTCTTATTTTGTAGTGGGAGAAGGGAAGTGTACTCAGCTTCCACTCTGCTTGTCAGCCTCAGCGCTTTGGCATTTTCTTCACTGCCGCAAGGCTAAAACAGGGCTATGGCAGGAGGCCTGAACACACTCGTCCATTTTCTGGGCTGTGCAACCTTATGAACAGCAGCTCTGCATGTAAAGCCCAGGGCTGGCACGTGGCGATGGGGTGCCCTGCAGGTTTGGTAAGGGCGGTCTGTGCAGCAGCAGCACCTCTGCTGTGGCACACGGGGTGGCTGCAGGCCCAGGTGACCGACACGAAGGGAGCCCGGGTAGTTTGAGCTGTTAATCAGTGCGGAGTTTCCCAGAAGCAAGCAATCACACAAGAGTAGCTTCCTCTTTCAGCCTTGCCCCTGTTACAAGTGGTTGGTTTAAGTGCGGCTGTTTGAAATGCTCCCAGGTGCCTCTGTTGTGGGATTTGGCTACACTGAGCACTATGCTTCCAGTGTTTCTTCATGACTTGCAGACTAGCCAATTTGAGTAAATCTAGTCTGGTAACCCTATGCATGGGGTTACATTCATTGACATATATTCTCTTCACAGCGAGATATTTTTGCTTTCAAATTTAATGTTATCTTTTAGTTATAGAAAAAAAAAAAAAGTTTGTTCTGTCCCTACTATGGAGGCTGGTCTTTTTATAGATTTGTATGTGATAACACAAATAGAAGGTATTTTAAAAACACCTCTTATAACCAACTTTTCTGATGGAGTCATTCCAGTTGCCCTGCAGTGGGGGCTGATCAGTAAGAATGTGCAGGGCGGGAAAGCTTTCCTTTCTCTCAGAATAAGGCATCGGATTGACAGACTTCAGGGTTAGCAAGAAAACCAAAACATCTCCATCTCAGCACTGAGCTTTCTGTGGGAATAAAGTTAATAAAAAGAGAAATTTAATAAAATAAAAAGGACTACTTTGTCAAGCCAGGAGAATTCAGGAAAATAGTGCAGCCCAAAAGCAGAGGCATTCAGGGCAGGCCAGTTGAAAACTTCCTTTACAGTTTACTCATTCGTCATTAGTGGATACGCCAGCACTCTTTTACCTCAAGGTTTTTTATAACAAATCAGCCTGGGACTTCTATTTGTGATATTTACTGGAAAGTTAAAGGTTAAAATTGGCAGTATTATAAGCAGCTGAAGGAAAGGCAGCCATTCTTTTGGACAGTAGTGTATATGCTCACATATGCTATTGGTGCCAGTGTCTGTAACACTGTAGGACTGAAAAGGTCTCAGAACTTTGGTGCTTACTCATAGGTCTTCTTCTAGTCTGGTTAGTCTTGAGGGAACTTGGGTTTTGAAGCTGTCATACCTGCACATCTAGGAGGAGGTTGAGTTTTAGTGGGGAGAGGAAAATGGGCTCAGCCGTACCCAGAGCTCTCTTCTGACCACAGCCTTGCCGTGTCTGCAGCTCTGCCCATGAGCCATGTCCAGAATAAGGTTCACCCTGGGGGCATGTCTGGGAAAAGGCTATGGAAAGGATAATCTTCCCTCTTTAAAAAATGATCTGAAACTTAAACCTGTTATTTTCTCTTCAGAAAGATAGACTTTTCTTTGTTTAAAAGTGTTTTCTACTGTGACTATAACAACTGTCAAGTTGTTTGGATTTTTTGTGTGTAGAGATGTATTATTTGGGTGGAAGAGTGAATTCTTGTAATATATCAATTTTTGCCATCCTGAATGTCAAAATGAAATGTTTTCTGAGCTCTACTTTGTGCACTGAAGCTGGATGATGGATTGATTATAATTCTGCCCTAGCTGCAGGAAATAAATGGAATTATGGGATAGTATATCTTTATTATTTGCAGATAATACCGTCTCTTAAGACTGTATATTCTGGCTGTAATTTTTAAGGTTTTTGGTACTGGAATTAAGCTAGGCTATTTGTTTCAGGGTGTTTTGAGAGCAAGTCCCTGTAGCTCTATACTAACCGTTCCATGTCTCTGCTGTCTGCAGGACTGAAACTTTTTGAGAGCAAAAGGAATACATAGCTTCTGTCATGCTACGTTAGGTATGATTCAGCTGTCTCCTCAGACAAGGCTTATAAGTGAGTTTATATAGCATTTGCTCTATTTTTTGATCCATCTAATTGTCTGTGAACTCATAGTGCAGTATGATTTCATATTAGTTTCTGGCTAACTTCCAGGTGGCCCCTACTGAGTTGAACTATTAAGTGGGCATTAGCGTTCGTACGTATCATTATTTTTAGGAAAATCCTTGGTAAACTGATTTGGCCTCTTATTTGTTAAATTTACTTTAAATTCATAATGCCATCGCTTTTAAATGAAGTACAAACAGTAGCTATACAATTAGCATACAAATTGTATATAATGGTCTGGAGACCTCCTTTCACACTGCAGCACACACAGTGCAAGATATTAAGCATTAGTACATGGAAAATAAGACATTTTCATGAGAATTTGTGAGGTGGATAAGTGGCTTATTTTTGGAGTCTACATTGCATAGTTCTAATGTTAATAAAATGTATGTTGTATAATACAGTAGTATGAGGCACAGATGTCTGTAACTTTGTCCTTTCTCATCTGTAGTTCCAAGAATAAGCAGTGACTAAACCAGCATTTTTCCTTACCATTGTTATAAAGTCCTTTTGTGACAAATCCAATATCATTCTTGTCATTTTAGTGTAACAGCTCATGCAGATGATGCTGTTTGTGAGCATCATTCACAAACATAACCACTGTTAACATTGGTACTTTATTTTTTTCTCCAAGAAAAGTCACAGGTATCATGTATTCAAAGTTGGCATATATGATTTGATTTTTTTTTTTTCTTTTTAAATTGTACAGTCGGTTTTCAGGTATCTTTCTATTTTTCTTGCTAAATTTCACTTGTTTTATATAGCTTGCTTTCCTCTTTTATTGCAGGTGGGAAGATTGGGTATTCCCCTGAAAAGACCATAAGTTTGATATCGAATCCTGCCCATCTAGGATCTTGAGAATTAGCAAGAAGCAAGAACCATTTGGCTAAGTATTTCCTGCAGATTTCTTTCTCATCTGTGCTTGGGAGTGGCACAGCTTGTTCAAAGCAGTAGCCATGTAGTAGGGTTGTAGAAAGATGGGGTCCATATTACTTTTCAGCTGATGCAGGGCAGAGTAAGTAAGTTTTGTGCTTGGGTTTTTTTCATTGACTTTTCCTCTGAATACCTCTTAGTCCGTGGGATGGAGTGAAAAGGAACGTGGAAGTGACTGGTCCCCTTTCCCCACTCCAGACAGAATATTGTTGCTGGTGTGGGGACTTAGGGGATATGGGAACAGCCTGAGTTGTAAACATCTCATAGTCAGCAACTTCTGGGTTAGTTGTACTGCTGAGTTGATGCAGCAGGGTATAGTGCTAAGCTTTCTTAGGCTAGGATTTCTCACAGTTTGAAATATTGCTATTAGGTTTTTTTTATTGTTTTCCTGCCTGGCTTTTGGGATCTTTGCACTTTGCAAGGGACCAGCAGTTTGTTCATTTATTCTGTGAAGACTATGGAGTGCTTAGTCTCTGTGACAGTAAGTGGAATGGAAGTATGTAGAAAATAAATGTAGTTTTTGATTGAAAATTTACAAGGTTGCTTGTGTCTACCATCTTGATAGTTCTTCTTGATCCAGAAATGCACAGTACATTGACCAGTCCATACGGGTTTATTCTTGTGCATGCAGGTCAGGTTTGGAGGTAGTTGTTGCTGGTTACATACAAAGCCAGTTTCAGATGTACACAAAACCAGATTTGCCTTTGTGGCTCCAGAGGTGGTATAAGCCATGACGTTGTGCTTCAGATACAGTGTGTGTCCAGTTTTGCCTTTACAGTGACTCATTTTGAAAGGTAAGTGGCTGTGAACTTTGTGCAATGGGTCTGTGATGTCCAGATTGAAGCAAATAGTCCAACTGCAGCAGTGTTTGATGCCTTGCTGCTGCAGTGCAAAGATGTGGTTTTTGTGCAAATGCAGCCCAGCAGTCAAACTGGCTTGCTCGCTGGCAGGCAAGCTGTGACATTACAAACTTTCACGCAGGTTACAAATGAGTTCTGAAGAAGGTATAATTCAACTCCAGAAGTTGCAGTCGTGTCTCCATGGGGAGTGTGTGCATACCTGTTGACACCCTTTATCTGCCGAGAGCAACCCAATGCTCCAGAAGGATGTGAGCACTTTACCTTTTTAGTTACCAGGAGACTAAACTTGTGGTTGGCAGCACAGAACATAGCCCTGCTTTGAGGTTTCTTGAGTGACCAAATTGAAGCTTTTTGTTGTTTGTTTACTTGTTTCTGTAAGAAATGAGACAGAGTGAGGAAGGGCTGTCTGCGAAGGGCTGTCTGCATCCATACATGTCAAGGTCAACAGAGGGACTTTCATGTTTGCCTCAAACAACTTCTGTGCCCCCTCAAAAAACCCTCAGCAAGGTCAATTAGAGGAGCTCCCTGTCGCGCCGCAGAGCTGTGGGATGAATCACTGCTGTCCATCCCTGGCAGAAAGAGTGCTTGAGTGCATCTCCTGGGAGAATTCCTTCCCTGAAGCCTTTAGCTGGCACCTGAAGTCCCTCCATGACCTGCTGCACCCTGGCAAATGCATCTGACAGCCTGCTAGCATGCCAGCTCACCCTGCTTTGCTCTTCCTCAGGAGATGGAAGGTCTTAATGTTCACTGTTGTTGCTGCACTGATCCTTGTTCCACCATGCTAGGCTGGCTGGCTAAGTAGAATAAAAGGTTTGTTTTAACATGTTTCATGCTGAGGTTTTGAAAGCATTTGGACAGACAAAGCTTACAAGTGAGTGGTAAGCTAGTTTGGGACAATGCTTACGCTTAACTGTACTGGATGATTTAGAGTCATATTTTATATGTCCCACAAAGCCTGAGGCACAGGTTTCAGTTAGCACCTCTCCCTCTGATAGTGGCTTGTCTACAGTGAAAGTAAGTCTAGAAATGCTTGTAGTCAGCAGTGAAACACTGGAGCTTCTAGTCCTAACCCAAGACTAAACCAGGACAGATTATTGCATCCTAGAAGTGGCTATTCTTCCCATAAATCATAAATGGACATGAGTGATTAGATTGGGAGACAGATCTGCATGTGACCCAATTAATCCTATCTGCCTGCACTTGAGGTGGAAGAAACTGTTTATATACCCTATTCTGTAGTTTTCTGCCTGTGGATTCCTGTTCAGCTCTTTCTATAATACTAAAAGCGAGAGGGTGACAATGAACGTTGGTGATACCATATGAGAAATATTTAAATAAAAGACTCATCTGGAAGGCTATAGAAGAGAAAAGCAGCCCGTAAAAAGAATGTGCTAATAAAACGTGTCAAGAGACACATTGAGGAGAAGGGGAAAAAAGATGATGGGAACCCTGTGCAGCACCATGTATTCTCAGGGCCCAGTCACAAAATGAAACACAAAATCTTTTAACAGACAACTGACAGAGCTGAGATGGGAGCAAACTAGGACAGGAATCTTAGTTTTTTTTTCTCTGTGCTGTTTGACTGCCACAGAGGCAGCAGTTACTTTAGCTGATTAAAATCTAGAAAAACTGTCTAAAATTTAGACATTCTCTTTTTGATTTGAGGAAATAAGAAGGTTTTCTAGTCACTGGGAAAGCAAAGGAAGAACTTTACTGTTAACACAGGCACTTAGACTTACCTCTTTCTGTCTTACCTCTGTCTTTTAGCCCCTCTTGAAGGGCTGGCAGTAGAGGATAGGAAGCATAATCAGGTGTGAACTGGGTTGTCCTTTACAGCCATCTTTTTTTCTTCCTCCTCTGTGCTTCAGCCTATTTATTCTTGCTGGGAGCTTTCTGAGTGGCTAAAGGAAGGTGAGGATAATGTGAAAGCTCCTCATTCTGACCCAGGAATGGGGTTGATCGTGTCTCATGCCCCTCCCACCCTGTCCTATTGGCAAGTTGTTTATTGTGAAAACTAAACTGGTTTGAGTTGAAAAATAGATCCATTTCTTGTTTTAAAGGATGTATCACTTGCCAGTCAAGTTTTGGTATGTGTTTAAGGTTCTGAATGTTGTAACTGGGTATGAAGTTTACTTTTTCAGGCATACTTCACTATTTATTTAGAACTGTTTTGAGACATTCCTGCCAGCATTTGCTTATTGTAAATAGTTACAGAAAGAACTTTTTTACAAACTTGAAATGCTGTTCGTATTCCCTGGGTGAATTTGTGTTGTCATTTTGTGCCTGATTTCTTGTTACTTATGTATGGCCCTCCTAGCATTTGGAACGATGTTCTTTACTTGCACAGCCTTAGTCAGTCGCACTATCCTTAGGAAGGACTGAAGTGTCAGTTATTTTGCATGACATGGCTATTTAGGGCCCTTCTTTCCAAGAATTTTTATCTGGATTTGACTTTGTGCTCTGAGAAGTTTCATAGCCCACAGAACAACTAATTGCGATAGTTTTATGAACTGCATGAAGTCCTCACCCTGCTGGGTTTTAACTGAATGCAAAATTACCCAAAGCTCAACTTGCTATTACAAAAACTGTTTTGTAATATGCTTCAAGTTGGTTGTCCTGACTCCAGCTGCTGCAGCAGATGTTTTGTGCAAAGATGTGCTCTCTTTTGATGTGCATAAAACCGTCCAATGTTCTGAAAAAAATTACTCTGCAAAATGGAAATCCCTGGTGCAGTGTTGTGGTAATGACAGAAATATCTACCAAGATGCTTTAATGATGCTTAATGTTGCATTGCAGTTTTTGTTAATCTGTGGGAAAAATCACTCCTGTTTTATTTTCCTTTCCATAGTGGCATATTGAAGCTGTTTATTGGCGCAGAGAAATTTAGGTTGGAAGGGACCTCTGCTGGTCATCTGGTCCAACTTCCTGCTCAAACCATGTTCAACTAGATCAGGTAAATTTTTTCTTGTATCTAATTTATATTTCCCATTTCCCAGTGTGTGTCCATTGCCTCATGTCCTTTTACTCTGCACCCCTGAGAAGAGTCTGGCTCTGTCATTTCTGCATCCTCTGACTGGAACTGCAGACAGCACTAAGGCTTTTCTGGAGCCTTCTCTTCTCCAGGCTGAACAAACCCAGTTCCCCAGGCTCTCGTGCGTCCTGTGCTTCAGCAGCCTGACCATCTTGGTAGCCTTCCACCGGACTTGCCCCAGCGCGTCCGTGTCTTTCTAGTATTGGGGATACCAAAGTTGGATACAGTACCCCAGATACAGTCTTTCCAGTGGCAAGTAGAGAATAATAAACACTTCTCTTGACCTGCTGTCTACATTCTTGTTAATTCAGCCCAGTACATGCTTGGCCACCTTTGCCACAAGGCATATTGCTGACTCGTGTTCGGCTGGTCCATCGCAAGTCCTTCTCTGCAGAGCTGCTCCCCAGCAATCAACTCCCAGCCTGAACTATGGCACAGAGCTATTCCCTGTAGGACTTTGCATGTGCACTGGTGATCTTCACAAGGTTCCCTTCTCCAGCTTGTCCCGGTCCCTCTGAGTCGCAGTCTGCCCTCCAGCCTCTTGACTGTTGCCCATATAATCCGTGACCTTGCTACAAGTGCACTCCCTTTCATTGTAGCGTCGGTCCCTGAGGGCTACTACTGGTAACCTGCTGCCAGCTGGACTTTTTATGGATAATATAACATAACCCTTTTCAGCCTGTTAGTCTGGACAGTTCTCCATACAGATGTTCATGGCAGCATTCATCCTAAGGTGCTGTGGCTGACGGTCTTTGGTATTTACTACTTTTGAGCTACAAAATCTATATTCAATCTGAGGAGCCTGGCTTTGATACTTTGTACACTTACAGGCATCTCTGTGGAGGTGAACTTAGGTTCTCTTCTTTTCCATTGAAGAGAAGCTTTGTGTGGGCTGGTGGTTGACCAGCCAACAGTGGAGAAGGAATAAGAGGGGATGTGATAGCCTTTGTCTGGATTTTAAAGGAACAGGTGAGAACCTTTGTGTGAGTGGCTGCTCTTGGGAACAGTGAGGAGGAAGAGATCCCATAAACACGGAAGGATTATCTCTAGAATCAAAAGATGTGCTAGAAGTATGTGGTCTCCATTAACGCATTTTGTGTCCCCAGGTATATATTTATTGAGGTGCATGATGTCTGCCCTGAGGATGATTTCTAACAGAACCTCCCAGCAGGCCTTGTCTAACTCTGATTACACCTGGGAGTACGAGTACTATGAGTATGGACCGGTGTCATTTGAAGGCCTGAAGGCTCATAAATGTAAGTTCAGGTGCAGCGGAGCTTCCCCATGCTAATGTTCCTGCTCTTCATTTGTAACCGATCATTGTATAAAAATACCTGCCCTAATTTTTGGTTTGTCAGCAATTAGAGGTATTACTCTGTGTTAGATTATTGTAATTGTTTATTAGTCTGTGTCTTTTTATTGACTGCTTTCTTTGTGCATGAGAGAACCGTGAATTTCTTGTCTGTGGTATAAATTTATCAATACTGAGGAATATCAGACTGCGAGGAACAGTTTGTAACAGCAAATACAGCCACTGCTGCTTCTGGTGACTACTTGGTATGATCCATGTTGCTTTGTTCTTGTTCCTGTTATTGCTTAAAAGGTGGGCAGTCTTACTGCTTTTGTTTTTCCTAATAGAAAATAAATTTAAGTCTTTTGAAAAGACTTAAAACAAAAGGAAAAATTTCTCCTTATGAAGAAATTTTTGTCTTTGGGACTACGTTTGTAGGAATGTGCTAAATTCAGGGGTTCTGCTAATGTTAGAGCTGTTTTACGGTAGAAGTAACAAGTGGAGGATGGAGACCAGACAGGTGAACAACACGGGTAGGAATTGAAAGGAAGTTTAGGACAAGGAAGTGCAGCTGGACCAACATTTATCTAAAATCTAGACAATGGCTTTGGCTTTTATGAAATTTATTTTTTTATATTTTTAGGAGGGAGATGGTTATGGGGGTAAAACCAAACCAAACCAAAAAGATTAACTCAGAATTAGTGGGTATGTTTTGTGAGTAAGTTGAAAAAGAGAAGCAAACCACCTTGTTACTTTGTTTCTGATCTTAGATACACTATAAGAGGGTTTCATCACCAATCTTCTAAGTATTGGGGAAGGGTCTCCATCCAGTGCTGGAGCACTGGCCCAGGGCAGGATATAGACTTTCTGCCTAGTGTAACGATGAGGGTTCAGACTGGGACAGAGGAGTGCCTGCAGTGACAAACAGCAGCCCAGAAAGGCTGATATCCCTTGGCTCTGCACAGTCAAGAAGTTTTGGGGAGGCTCTGTAAGGGACAGAAGAAACTTGAAGTTATTAACACTTTTAAAAAAACTAGAGCAGAATTTGCTTTTTAGCCTAAAATGTACTTTTTTTTTTTTTTTCCCAAAAAAAAAGTCTACTGATTACTGTCTGTATTTTTACAAATGTTATGTACTTGAAAAATGTAGGTTACCTTTTATCATGTTTCTAATTTATATTCCATTCTTCCATTTAATCAGAGGCCAAACTTGATTACAAAGATTACTGATTACAAAGATCAGCTGCAGTGTTATGCACATTCCTTCTTTTTAGCTTGGTGTGTCAGAGTGTGATGGAAGGAAAATATATGAATTATAGTTACCTCTGGATTGCGACGGTATGGTGGCAAAACAGATCTTGGATTGCCATTGAAATCTTATGAAAAGAGGTTAACAGGCATATTGAATCAGTGACCTAGGAAGTTTCTTCTGGATATTTTTTCAGTTGTTTTTTTTTTTTTTTTTTTTTTTTTAACCAGTAGATTGGAGTTGGGTCTGTTTAACTTCTGAGTTTAATATAATAAAGAAACTGTCTGTGTTGTATATGGCATGGTATTTATTGACATGGTAGGTTCTTGGCATGTTTCTTGTTCTCGCTATTTCCAGCGTTCTGAGACTGCTGAGGAATATGGAAGCAATGTGATCAGACATTTAACTTCACTGAAATCCTAAGGTGGGGAGGAAGGAGGAGATTACACTGAGGCTGTATTAGGAGGGAGACCTTGAATATTGTCAGGGAAGGGGTATTAATGAGTGCCTGTAACATAATGCTGGAGAGCTTAGAGGGGAGTGAACTCCAGTTTAGGTGATGCAGGCTGATGGTGACACTTGGCCAGCTGTGAAACATCACTGGCCTTTCTTAAAATTGGAGGGGTGTGGTTTGATTGATTTATTTTTGATACACAAGGTATTTCGCCCAAAATTGAGAGGGCACTATTTCGAACCATGATGTAAGATGAATTCCACAAGAGAAAGTTGGGAGGCCACTTTTGGGCTAATGTTGATTTAATTGTAGGCAAGGGGAGGTTCCTAATAATTTAAGGTATGTACAGAGGATTCCATAAGCTTGCTTTCTGAAAGCAGAGAAAAATTTATGCAAAGTGACCTGAGAGGAAAAATATTGACAAAACAATCTAATACATAAAGATGTTTCTTAAAAAAAGGTGGGAAGAAGATGAGGTGTTCAGATGCCACAGTGACTTATCAAATATATGACTGCAAAGAGAAAAAAAAAGCTGTTTTACAAGTAAGAAGTATGTTTTGCCTGAGAAGTGAAGGCAGGAATCAGAGAATCCAGAAAAGTAGATACCAGATGTTTTCTGAATTAAAACTTTATCAAGTAAATAGACAAAGATCTGGGAGATATCTGTGACTGGCAGAGATAAGAACAAAATCTTTTTTTATGCCTTTGAAACAGAAGAAACCTCAGTAACATTAGAGCAAGGTAAAATAGGTAGAAATGACCCAGGGAGTCAGAACTGCTGCCAGGATGTGGTGAGTCTGTTAGGAAGGAAAGGAAGGCTGATACTGCAACTTGAGAAAGTCATGGGATACTTTCCCAATGTATTGTAACATGGGACAGTATTATAAACGTAGTCCTAAGTTTCATATTTTTTGAATAAATGTTGTTAGGTACTGTTTATTTTCAGTAAATGTTTAGAAGTTCATAGGTTTGGATAATTTGCACTAAATGACACCTGAATGAAATGCTGAAGAGAACTCGGGCCACCTGCTTTAATTTTAAACAAATCTGAAGAATTTGATACAGCAGAGGGTTGGAAGTGTGTCAGGAGGCACAATAAAGCAAGGAAGATGTAGCTTTAGGCTCAGTAGAAATACTGTTGTGGGGGAACACCAAACCGACCACAAGACAGGCATGTTTTTCAGCACACAAGCAAGGTTGGCAGGTGTGGTTTTTGTGGGGAGTAGTAGTTTATCAGAATCTTGATATATATTTTTTTTTTAATTTTATTTGTTTCCTTTAGCTTTTTTTTTTCCTTAGTTGATGAGTTTAGTTTTGCAGCTTGATCAATATCATCTATGTGCATATTTTTTAGACATCTTACTTGATCAGACTTTACATTCTGGTTATCAGTGCAGTTGCACATCATTGAAGCACGTCTGACATTGGTAGGTGCAAGTAGCTGTAAATGGTTAAGTGGTAAATTTTTTTAATAGGAGTATTTCTTTTTAGATGAAATAGTCAGGTACTACAAAGTCCAGTAGGAGGGTAGATAATCATGAGCTCTTGTGTATTAGTAAGGCCAAACACAAGATGCATCTTGAACCACTGAATGAGGGCTGTACTTCTAAATTATTTTCAGAATCATTTTATGGCTCATAATGCATGGAATTACAGAAATTAACTCATACCAGTATCCTTTAAGCAAAAAGGGGTAAAGGAGTATTACAAACCACCCCCCTTCACTACCCCCACCCCCCCACCCCAATCATAAACACCTATACTTGAACCACCCTCTGGTTATTTTACAAAGGGTGTTGAGAGGGGGAGATGTGTCACAGGAGAGATGGAATAAACATTGCAGTGGGAGACTTGAAACTTCACCTCCTTAGCTTACCAGAAAAAGGGATTAGAGAGTGACTTGGTTGTGATAAGTATTTTCACAGGGAGAAAATCTGAAGTTGCAGCAGGCACTTTGACTTTGCAGAGAAAGAGCAAATGGTTTGAATTGATTTCCAGTTTCCAGGTACGCCTTTTAGCATGGAAGATATTTTGCTGTGGGAGTGTGATTTACCACTGGGGTCAGGCACCAGGCAGGAGAGCTTAGCCGATTCCTTGGTTTCTGGTGTCTTTAGTCCTGTATGAGATTCAACACGCTGGCTAAAGTTCTGTGCTGTGCCTGCTGCACTAGGTCAGATGCTCATGTAGGTTTACAGCCAGCAGAGATCTTTGAGGTTCAGTAATAGCTGTGTAATGAGAGGTTAAGGGGGAAGATAGGATACCTGTTCTGATCAAGATTTCCTTCTTGCCTGTTTGTACGTTGTTTTTTTTTTTTTTTTAACTTTTACAGTGGAAGTTTTGAATGTTTGCATAAACAAAAAATAATGTAACTGAAATGGTAGGTGAAAATGTACCTGTGTACTGTGGGAGACCTGAGCCAGGTCATATTTTGGGTTCGTGCTCTGTAACTTTGGGCCATGCTTATCAATTGATTGTTGTCTGGAAATATGTTTGTCCCACTCGGACCTCTCTTAATCAAGTTCCTGGAATCTTCGAGCCTCCTTCAGGAGCAACTGTGAATCAACTTTGAAGTCGTAAGTGGACATAGATTTGTTTTAAGTAGGACTGGCGATTTATCTATATAATGTATTTATTTATTTGCTATAAATGAGAACAGTAGGTACATTTAACGCACCCAGGCAAAAACCCATGCTCTTCCCAGTTGCTTCTATATTTGGCTATTACATTGGTGTTTTCCTTTTAATTAACTGGTGGTTTGACTTTTTTTTTTCCAAATCCATTTGGCTTCTTTGACATTGTATTGCAGTTTTCTGTATGTAAGTTGGAAACCCAAATTAAAAATTATTTGAAAATGTCTTGTATATGTTGGTTGTTGGTATTTGTTGAGGTAGCAGATAGTTTTATCTGTGGTTCCGTTTATTTCAGAATCCTCTATTTTAGCACTGAATGAGAGCTAGCTCTTCTTAAACCTATTGTGTCAAAGAAATTAATCAAAACCCAGAAACTTAATGGTCTGGGGCAGAAATAATTTAAAATAGGAGGGGTTCAGTCCTACAGAGACAGCGGTTTTTGCTGAAAATGAAATAATCTTCTCTTTGAAGTTCTAGCACTGAAGTTGTTTCCAAAGCAATGCTTGGAAATGGGCCAGGCATCACAAATAGTGCTGCTCTTATTTTACTAAATGAGAGAATTCAACGTCTCGCCTCTTTCAGCTTGTTTCTGGTTTGTACAGACGTCACCAAAATTTGGGCTAGAAATGACCACTTCAGTGGCGGCTTTCTGTTTAAAAAAATAGATAATGATAAATCTGACTGTCCTTCCTCTTTGCCACTTGGGAATGAGCTGCAAAGTCTTGGGATTTGCAGTCGTGCTGCATGTGGAAGGAAACTTTCTTCAAACGCAGGTGAAATACTGATCATCTTGCTTTCTCTTTTTCGCCAGATTCCATTGTGATTGGATTTTGGGTCGGTCTTGCGGTTTTTGTCATCTTCATGTTTTTTGTCCTGACCCTGCTGACGAAGACAGGAGCACCACATCAAGAGTGAGTCTGAAAACTGGAATAATAAATTCTGCCTGCCAAATGGCATGCCTGTTCTTTTGCAGCCCCCAAACAAGCAGCAACAGTGCCGACATTGCACTGGCTCGGCACCATCTTGTTCTAGTCCTTATGAAAGGGTGCAGCCTGTCTTTGTTTCAAATAATCTTTGTTCCAAGCACTTCTAGGAGATCTATTCTGTAGAATTGTTGTTAATGTGTTTCCTATTTAGCAACTGGTCAGTAGGCATGCAGTAAGAGAGGGGAATAGCTGCATGTATGAATTTCACACTAAAAGGAAGATAGTGGGCAGGCTGCCAAACAGGTGGCTCTAGATTACTGTTCTACAAATAAATGGGGTTATTCTAGGTAGGCTCATGGTATGATGGAGTGGAACAGAGAAATGTGAATATTGACAGAATATATACAAATAAAATGCGATACAGATGTTAAATTGAGGAAGTTGAAGTCTGGAAAGTTTCCACGTTTGTGTGTTCAAGTCCAAAATGTAGGTATCAGCAGTATTTACAAAATCTTCCCTTCACCCTGTAGCTCCCCTAGTCTTAGAGTGTCTTAATTTCTGCTGAGAAATTCCAGTAGATGCTGAGGTACAGATCAGCTCCACACTTGTTTACCACCAGGGTCCTCTGAAAGTCATAAACTTTATTTCTTGTTCTTTCTGGCTGTTAAGTATGTGCGGACCATGCCTTGCCTCAACCATTTATCTGCATTTGCACAGCATGCAGGCTGTCAGTGTCCCTTCCTCTGAGAAAGTTTGAACCCACATCTGCTCTCAGGCTTGTGTGCCATAAAATAGAAATAAAAAGCCTCTCTGGAGAGTGAGATTGCTTGCAGGCAGGTAGCAATGATGAGAAGCTGATTGTGAAAGGCAATTGCTAGTTCTTCTCACTTCCTAAAGCAGACTGCCTATCTCTGCCTACTGAAGGCCCTTAGCTATTTAGCCACATGTTGACTGGCTCTGAAACTTCATGTAATAACACATCTCTAGAGACAGGGCCAAATTAGAGAGGACGTGCATATATTGTGAGCCTCTTCTCTGTGAAGGACATAGAGACAGAATAATTCAGCTTCCCAAAACTGACCTGCTGGTAGTTTTTCCTCCCTTATGGACTGTTATGGAGTAGCCAGACCTTGTTACCAAATACGTTTAAAGTCCTTGTAAGTGTTGGTGTGCTGCCTCTTTTCTTTGGAGATCTTGTTTCTTAGCTGAGCATCTGAGTTTGTATCCTATGTGAATAATTTGAGAGGGGAAGAAGTGATAAAGTCAAACATGCAACAAAGAGAATTTAACATGGATATTTGTCAAAAGTTTGTATACTTGTAAAAATGTACTTTCAGGTAGCAGAGGCCTGCTTGATATCTCCCACTGTCTTTCTGCTTTCTTCATCAGTTTTCTTGGGACAGGTTGCCTAGGGAGTTTGTGAAGCCTCCATCTTTGGTCAGCTTCTACATCCAAATAACCTAAGTTCAGCATTGGCGTTGCTTTCATCAGGGAATTAGGCTAGAGACCCCCAGAAGTCCCTTCCAATCTAAATCTTAATATAAGTTTTCTTCAGTTGCTGAAGAGAGCCCAGTTATTCCTTCCTGTATTAGCTTTGAACTTCCTTTGCAGCATTGGGAGCTGTGTGCTCAAATGCTTGCTCACTTACTATGTGTGCCGAGTTGGCACCTTTAACAAACTTGAGCACTTTTTTTTCTTTTAGGTTTGATAATCACATGTGTTATGTGTCTGGAAATAGTTCAGGAATATGCTAAGGGCAGTGAATACTGTTGTTTCCTCTTATTTTTTGATACATGTATATAAAAACTGGAGAACATAAATTCCTACCTGTGAAACTAGTCTGCACTGGTTTCAGTTTGCCTGCATCTTCTGTCTTTGTACCTGACTGGATTCTTCATAACTTATTGTTTCATTTATTGGGCTGTCTTACTGCCTTCCTTTAGAAATAGATGTTAATGGGATTCCTAGGTCTTGGGAGAAAGCCAGCCTGATTGATGGACGTGTCTCTGACTTCAGTAAGTCAATTTGGCTGTTCTTTAAAGTACCATTAATGTGAGAGAGAAGTGTAACTGGGTTCAGACGGATGGATCTAAAGTAGAATACTCTGATTTTTCTAGTAGTATGCTTTTCTTGACTCAATATAAAAGCGTATGAGAGCATGTACTTTTCAAAATTGTACGAGATGTTTAGAATTGAGTACATTCTGACAAGAAGAACAGGGTCAGGTTATGGACATGGAGAGGTAGAATTTTAATTAGTTATGGAAATGATGTCTGTTGCACTTTTGCTTGCATATTAGTATGTGTAGAACATTAACTTGTGTGACAAAAAAAATTGTTGACAACCTTTCTGAATTTCTGCCAGAGAAGTACTCTCATTCATCACTCGTGAGAAGATAGTATGCTATTATTGTTTCTGCATTTAAATATGTCCTTAAATACATTTGTGCAACAAATGCATGTGTTCATATAACCTATCTGTACAAAATATTGGCTGATGTAATCTCAAAGTTTCATGCAGCTATTGAGGCAGGTTGTACAACTAGTTGCAATAGAGGTGAAATGACTGGTAATTTTTTTTTTTTTTTTTTTTTAGAAATCATTTGGTTTTGGTTAAGGATTTTGGGGTGAAATCCAGAGAAAGAGGTAGATCCACTGAAACAAAAACTTCTATGTATATATGTATGTGTTTGCACATTTATTTAAAATTTATTCAGATTCAGGAAGGTTTCTTAGGTTCAGGGTAGCAGTTCTGGACTGGTACTAAGGATCTGTTTAAATCCCCCCAAGTTCCCTTTGGGATGCCAAACCCTGTTATTTTGGAGGATTGGCTACTTATTCCTTTCCATGATTTGCAAGCACCCCAGGTCACTTTAGGGAGTGTTGAGAGAAGGGGTGCTGAAGTGGTAGAGGAATCTCAAGTGTCAGTCCCAAACCAGTATGCCCCTGTTAGAAGGGTATACTGGGCAAAACGTCTGCACCCTGACAGTGCACTCAAGTCCAGTGGGCAGAGTCCAGAGGTTAATACTGACTCCAGCCAACAAGAACCCAGCATCGTAGGCTGGAAGATTCCCAGAAAAGGGAGCTTGGGTTAGTTCATTGGCAACTGCTTGTTTTGAGTGGTTTTCAGTATGTATGATGCTCAAGGTTTCTGATATTCACCTTTCTACTCTCTTGTTGGCAGCTTCTGAGACTTGGAGGGTGCTGTTGGCCCAAATATTGCAAAGGGATTTGATTGTCCAGGTGATTGTGCTTCCTTCTATAGCAAAACTGGGATTTCTGAGGCTGCTTTTCTTACTTTGAGTGTTCTGAAAAGATACATACTGAGGTACTGAGGTGTACTTGCATACTGTAATGAGCAAGACTATGCAAGTTTCTAGTCTAGTTTAAAAAAAAAAAATCCTGAAAATACAGAAAGATAGTGTTTGTGAATTTCAGAATCCAAAAATATCACTGTGTATTAGATCAAGTATTCCCTACTCATGAGCACAGGATTGTTCTATATTGTAAGTCCTCAACATTGTGGGTAATAAAATTTCTTTGCATCTTCAATTCTTCCATTTAGTGTATGTTGCCTGTCTTGTGTGCCCCTCTGTAGAGTCAGCCTTTGCTCCTTCATAGCTCACTGGATTATAAAGACCTTTCCACACCTATGAACTAGTGTTACTTCTGTAGTGGATGCATTTTAAGTTTTTTTCTGAAGCCACTTCTTTTTAGGCTTTATAGCACTTGTCCTTTCTCTGCTTATTTGCCACCTCCACTGTCTGTGCCACAATACAACCTAGAAGTACTTGGTGACGGATTTGCAAAACTATATACACAACTTAAATTTGGAGCGGTACTTTCTGTTGCGTTATAAATATGTAAATGTCAGTCACCAGTTCTGACGGCTACCACAATATTATTCCAGTCTGTTTGCCTCCCGGTGTGTATACAGTAGATTATTTTTTCAGTTCCTGGTCCGCCTTGCATCGATTTAAACGTGCTTCTACATGCTTCACTTTGAAATGCAGAATGAGCCAATACAGTTTTGACAAACTGGAGGACTGCTTTGATTTGAAGGCCAGTGTAACTGATTTTGTTAGGACAGAATTCCTGTATCATGTAATGGAAATAAATGAGCATCTTTAAAATTGACTATGACCGAAAGACTAATGGTAGGTATCCAGTGAACTTGAAGGTTTTAGGGGTAGATTTCTGAAGGTGCCATCAGAGACTTTCAAAAGCGCGTGTAGGCACTTATCTCCTACTGCAGACTCAAAGGAATTAGAGATTTTCAGAGAAACACTAAGTGCTGTGCGCACCTTTAGGCATCCAGCTATCTGGCTCAGTGTCATTTGCTATATGTTCATGTGTAAACAGTACGATTTATTAAATCTTAATAAAACTTGTATTCTGAGAAAATGTCTAGATTTTTCACTACTCATCCTCTGGATACCTCTACTGTTTTTCAGATGCAAATAACTTGCATTTTGTGATGTGATAGCTTATAAATTCAGCCTGACAAAGAATGTACTACTATCTGTCTAGGTTGAGATTTTTTTCATCCCCAGCTGTTCATGGCTCCTGCACAAGTCCATGCAGGTTGGAGCTTGTTTGAGCTAACGCTTCTAGAAAACTCCAAGAAAGATGTTAAGATGTCTTTGCTGGGCCATGTGTCTGAATTGTTAAGACTGCCAGTCCTTATAGCAGTCTTTAGTTCCAGCTTTCCTAACTGGAAAATCTGAATGTCACTGACTGAAGTCAGTGGAAAAGATGGTTTGATGCCTGGACAACCAAGCACTCAAATTGTGCCTTTAGTGACAGCAGTGCTGCCTGTGTCTCAGATTTTTCTTTATCAAAGATTTTTCTCAGTGTTCTATAAGCCATTTAAAAAAAAACTTGCTACTACTTGATATCAAGAGGAAATACTGAAGAGTTATTTCTAAGCTCATTCAGTGAGCTGATTATTATGGTATATGGATTACCAGAAGTGCTATTTCAGAGTGCTGGCATTGATAAACTTACTCCCATGGAAAATTATCATGACAAATCAAGACTTAAAACAGCTTTGCAGAAAACAATAAATAGTTCTGGCTTTTAAAGTCTGCTGTAGGTAAACTGTAGTGTTTCCTTTCTTCCTGATCGTACCGGTTGCTGAAGCTAAATCTTCTGTTAGGACATGGATAGTTCTACTTTTGTGCTTACTGTATTTTTCTTCTTTCTCTTCAGCAATGCAGAACCTTCTGAAAAAAGATTTCGCATGAATAGCTTTGTGGCAGATTTTGGAAGACCTCTGGAGTCAGAAAGGGTCTTTTCTCGTCAAATAGCTGAAGAATCCCAGTCGCTTTTCCATTTCTGTATTAATGAAGTAGAACATTTGGACAAAGCAAAACAAAGTCGGAAAGGTCTAGGTCTGGAGAGTAATATCCACTTCCAGGAAGTTCCCAGGAACAGTGCGGTGTTTGAAGAGGACCCAAACTGTCTTACAAAATTTAACATTCCTAATTTTGTGAACACGGAGCAGAACTCTTCACTAGGTGAGGATGATCTCCTCATCTCAGAGCCACCAATCATTTTAGAAAGCAAATCAGTCATGCAATCTTCCCATCGGATCCTTGACTGAAAAGTCTTTTACTTTAAGGTAAACATTCCCGTTTTTGTCCAGTTTGAAGTCTTTCCTGGCCTTCTGGTGTTTTGATAGGAGGTATTTCAGACTTGTGCTTTTTATTGTATAGAAGACTGGCTGTGCTGACAGAACTCCATTTAGACAAAGAGTAAAACACTGAGTGCTTTATTCTGATGCCTTCTGTGGTCTAAAACTTTTGCCCAGCATTATTTTTGTTTCCTGATTTTTTTTTTTTTTTCCTCTTGTTTTGTTCTTTTGTTTTCAAATGACTGCTTGTGTGCAGCTTCTGAAGGGATACCATAATAATTTGTGGGGACTGTGAAGGCTGGAGCCTGGCACTGGGAGGTGTATGAAAAATCGTTGGCCAAGAAAAATGTAAACCTCAAATTAAGACTAAAGCAAAGAATAAACAGGCAGCCCCTGGGGAGGTTCTGCAGCTTCTGCCACTCCCAAAAAGGACACCTGAAACTGAGCAGCACAGTGGGTATCTGCTTGGCATTCACTTCAGTTTCTGATTCCTAACTGCTTTTTGGTGCAGGTTAAACCCAATGTGAGAAGCTTTCAGAGGGAATACACCTTGCATATTAAGTTGTTCAGTTACAATGTTTACAAAATGCTACTACCACCTGCTGCTGAGTAAAGGCAAATTGGTGCCTGTCATTATAGTACTTTGGAGTGACGTTCTGATAGCTGCCCAGTGATAGTATTCTATACAAAACCAGTAATTTGACTTTTTTTTTTTTTGATTGCTGATGCAAACTTCCAGTGTGGCAAGTGCAAAAATCAGTAGCTAAATCACAGGAAATCCAGTAAGAACTATTCTTCTTTTGCTAATAGAGTTACTATATGCAAACAGTGGTGGTATGTTAAGCTGGTGCTAAGCTTTGCTTATATCCTGCACCTTCCTACGCCTTTTGGCTCTATAAATGACCCTTTCTTGACTAGTGGGCCAGTGAAGGGCTTGGGAGTTGTTGAGAGGACCAGCTCCAAAAGCATAGCTGAGCTGGAGTTGCTCCATTTTTTTGTACTCGCTTGGGATGGTGTTGCAACCACAACTGTTCTCCCAGGGAAAGGCTAGTTATGGAATTGAATAGGTGTAATTTCAACCCGTATGTTTATTTTTTAGAGAAAGAATAAGGTTCTGAACCTTAGCCAGTGCTTAAATTACCTTTCAGCTTTCTGCAAAAGATGGTAACTAATGGCCAAATGGTTTTAGAACAAGCACAAAGGGTACAGAGGAGCCAGGTTCAAATCCTTTGCTGGGTTTAGAGTAACAGTGCCCCGCAGGAGGTTCTTAGCTGAAATGAAACTAGTGGATTCAGGATACTGTGCTTAACTGGGTTTTCTTGAAAGTAACCTGCTTTGTATACCACCTGCTTGTGTCAGAGTGAAAATGTAGCAATGTCTTGCTGATACATTCTTCAGACACTTAAATACTGATGATTTTGTTCTTCTTTCACCTGATGTATAAAAAAAATAGAGAACAGGCTATACATTTAAAGAATACAGAGAGGAAACCTTTTGTTTTTATTTCCTGTGCCCTTATTATAAACCACTTGCATCTACATTTCCTGGTTTTAAATGCAATTCTTGCACTACTTCCTAGTGTTTAAAGTAATGGGATTATACTTAAAGCAAAGGAGAGTCTGTTTAAAACTAGCAGATTACTGCTGAAAACCGCTCCCAAGAGAAGACCGAAGTGAACCCTGTTACGGATGCCCGTGGGCTGCAACGCAGGCCTTCAGTGTGCTGCTTCAGGTGCAGAAAAGGCTTCCTGTCACAGGAGGTACCCAGCCACAAGCACGAAGGCTGTAGCTGTGGACTTTCCTTTTCTCTTCCCAAATGAAGAAATCTGGGAAATCTGCCCTCTGAATGTGGCAACTGCTTCCTGCCGAGGCACCTCGAACAACTGTTAGCATTCTCATGGGTAAGGTTTGTCTGAACTGAAGCTCAGTACTGTTCTTGCTAATAAGCTCTGGGACTTCTAATAACTCTGGCTTTTATAGCCTATTTCTGGATGAGTGAGCCGCTGTCAGTGATGTCTGAGTTCTGTTCTTTTTTTTTTTTTTTTTTTTTTTTTCTCTTTAATTTGCCATGCCTGAACAGAGAAATGATGGTTAAACGAGGGGAAGATCTATGTAGAATCCATCTCCTACAATCAATAAATTAAGCTTATTTTTAAAGCATTTAAAACTAATTTCAAAATAACGCAGGTCTGGTTTTAGAAAAAGAAAAGCTTGCCATTCCCACTGCTACCTTCAATCTTCTGTGACTTTTTGGGTGCATAACTGCTGCTTTTGGGAGGAAAGAGTAATATTCATGTGCATGGATGCTGGTGACAATGAACACCTAGATGAAAAGTATTTAATAAAATGATCAAGGAATAATACCAATTTAACTTACAGTACATTTGAATTGTATTCTTAGTGTCCTTCTGAAGCATGTATTAATCCTGTGAAGGTATTCCAGTGTTTGGTTCCTGTTTCTGTTCTTCCCTGATGGTGGTTCTACTTTTTCATCTTCTATCTTTAAAGTCTTTCATGCTGTTTTTTACAGAAAAATAACCTGGCAGTCCCCACTGCACAGTTCCCACATGATTTCAGAAGCACTGTGGTAACACAGTCTGATTCAGATTTTTATTCTGCTTCTGCATTAGAGCAGAGTCAAAGGGAAATGAAGAAACTTTCTGCAGTCTTCAAAAGCAATTATTTTAAATATTTTTTTTTTCCTTTTTAAGAACTAATAGACACAATGTTTTGCCTCAGGGGGGAGGGGACTGGTGTAATAACCAACTTTGTATATGTTTAGAAAAATTCATCTTTACCCTGAAAACCGACTATGAAGTGAATAGAAAGTGTTTTAACCAGGGTAATCCTTCAAAAGAAGTACTTGGAATTTAATGGTGTTTGAAAATGGAATTATTGCAAGTTTTCTTACTGCTTGGACTGTCTGTTTCAGAGCTTCTTCTCAAAACTCACTCTAAATGCATCACCTGTGGTAGATTTAACTTCATTGAGAATTCCCCAAAGGTAATTACATATGTATGTTTGCATAAACATATAATGTATTCTGCAAGAACTTACTAAATCAGGTTAGGTATTCCAGTTTTTAAAGGTGAATATTTGTGAAATGTTCTTCTGTGTAAACAAGTTTGTTGTGTACATTTTTTAAAAAAAAAAAAAAACCTACTATGTAAAATAAGAAAATGGCCTGCTCAGAGAAAAGAAAGGTAAAACTATGAATTTCTCTCTTAAAATCCAGTGATATATTGTCTCTGAGGCTAAAAGGTAAAGTAAATGATGTGTATTTGTTATACAATTTAGTATTTATGCACCTGAGCCTGTAGGTACTGAATATTTTAATACTGACATTTTTTGCCCATCTGCTTAAAAGAAACCCATAAAACCCTTCACAAGCCACTGGCAAAGGAGGAATTCAATTATGCTTTCCCCCTTCTACTTTGTTCTCCCCTTCTGGCAGGGGAAGATGACAAAGCCAAATACATCAACTGGAGATCCTGCAGAGCTGGACTGAACTTAATCAGTAGCCTCAGGTATTGACAGGTAGCAAGGACAGCACAGAGCCAGAGCCTTTTACCACGTGTTGTCCAAGAGGTGGAGGCCCCTGCGTTCTAATTTTTGGATACAAGATATGTAGTTAGCTGTATAAAAGGCTAAACATTACTATTCAAAGTTATCAGAGGAATTTCTGCTCAAAAGAGTCAGGGTAGCACTTGATGCATGGCCCCCGTTTCTGTGCAGAACTGGATCTGCACAGCTAGTGTGAGTATACAGATCTGTTTTCCTTACTTTTTCCAGGATAGGTTAAATGCTGAATATAGTGGTAGACTTCAAAATGCATTATGTACTATCAAATAAGGTCTTCATCCATGATAACCTATATGTTACATGAACAATTCTGGCATATTGTGCTGAGAACTTGAAAGAGAACATGCTGCTTCTGTCTCTGCCACAAGTGCCATGCTGAGATCTGATACTCTTCTGCACACCCTGTTTTCTTTTCTTGAAGCAAATGTCTTTTCTGTAATCTGGGTCACTGAGTCACCCAGCCAGCTGCTCACTTGATTGCCTAGAAGCTTTGAACCTGACAATTCAAATTATTATACTCCAGCTGCTTTGCTGTAAACAACTGAATTTCAGCTAAACATACAGCAATGATTCAAAGAAATTATGTTTAAGATTCTTTTAATCCATCCATTGTAATGCCTCCTGGCAATGCATGATGAAAGAATATGGCATGGGAACAAGAAAAACATACACAAGGAGTATATAACTCAGAAAGATCCCACTGCAATCCTCTGCAAATGACCTGTCTGATCACCCTTTGTTCCATTTCAGGGTATTTTCCCCTCTCTGTAATGTTAAGACTGCTGGAGAGTCAAGAACTAGTAACTCTAGCAGAGAAATTAAAACTTTGACATTAGTTCTCCAAAAAGAGCACCGTAACTACAGCCAGGCAAGACCAGAGATAGTCTGTTACTGCGTGGAGTGCCTGCTTCAGGGTAAATGTTTAAAAACTAAAGACCATGCTTCAGTGAGTGTACAACTACATCAACACACAGTGTAAACCATATTAGAGCTTACAATAATGGTAAATAATACTGACTCTGCTCAGTAAAATAGACCCAGAGAAAGAATTTGATTTTAAATTCAATTCATAGTAGGTACCAGCATATGCTGAGAACTGTTAAGAAGAATTTTTAAAGGTGTTTGAAAGAACTGCATGAATGCTAAGACAACTTCCTCTTGATGACTTAAGGATCAGATGTTTGAGAGAGAGAGTTTCTAGCAATCAGAAATGCTTCCTCGAGGCCTTCCTGTCCTAGGCAGTGCCCCAGCATACCTACATCCAGGACTTGGCCTCTTTGAGAACACAAGGGTTGCCGTAATTTAAAAAATTTCACTTCAGGTCACACACTTTAACACAGTGTTACAGGTATAGTGAACTGCACAGGAAATAAACAGTAAGTTGAAATTACTCAATTTTATCTTTTTCATTTGTAAAACAGTCCTAGATCAAGAAAATACAGCATATTTCCACATAGCTGATATTTTTTTACAAAGCATTACTGTATTTACACATTTCATGAATACAGATTAATACTTCATTACTGGGGAACAAAACATCCATAATAAAATTACTGAGAATACCTGCATATGAAACAGCCAAGATTACCATATTAATTGCCAGCTGACCATCCTTTTTTAAAATCTATACATATGTGTATATGTTCATTCTTGTTATATGTACACTCAAAAAAAATTAAAATCATTGCACTTAATTAGTGTCTGTGCCTATATGTTACAATTTGTTACACTATTTTGTTCTTTATGCATGCTCAGTCACATGCTGTAGAAGACAAAATGCATGTTTACTGCTGGCACCTGGCGAAGCATGATACATAAATACATTTAGAGAGACCTGAATGATTTCAAATTTCACTTAAACTCTAGCTTCAACCCACACAACAGGGACCTGAGGAGTAGGTTCTAGATTTTATCTCCTCTTTTTCCTAAGTAAGTGCAGTTGATTGAGCTACAACCCCAATATATGCGCTCTGGAATTCTTAAGGACTTGCAGTGCTGGGACTTCAGACTAGTAATTTCCTGATTTGTTTGTAAATCTATCCTTCCAGCCCACCAAATACTATCTGTCTGGAATGTTCTTCAATTTGACTTATTGTTTCTCCTTTTTTTTCCCCTTTTAACAGCAGGTTTTTCATATAAGAAAACTGTAATAGCCATCTTCACAATGTCTCCTTGCTAGAGCAGGGCAGCCCCAGTGGGTTCAGGGGTTCTGAAGGTGACAGTGACATTTTCTAGGCTGCTTATTGTTCTCTTCCCTCCACTTGGTCCACCTCTTTCTTGAAACAAAGGACCAAAAGCTTAGCACACTGTTACACATTAATGATGTAGCAGGAATTGCTCCTCTGCTATCTATCTATCTATCTATCTATCTATCTATCTATCTATCTATCTATCTATCTATCTATCTATCTATCTATCTATCTATCTATCTATCTATCTATCTATCTAGTATCTTACAGGTTCTGTGCTTGGATGTGTAACTAGCAGAAGATGAGAGGAGAGGCAGAAAGCAGTGGTGTCTCTCACCTGTAATGGTGCCTGTGGGTTCAGCACGGAGTTATTATCCACAGTCAGTACTGGGTTAGTGGATTATTCCTCCCTAAACATACCAGCCTCCTTTGTCACTCCTGGAGACTAGAGTTTGGAGTGGTTTTCTGTCCCCTATCAGTATTTTAAATTTGCCCACCAAGGTATCCCTGCAGTCTGAGCTTTAGTACATTGTCTTCATGTTTGACTGGCTTCTTTGTTCTGTCGAGATCATCTACAAGGATACTACTCTGTAGGATCCAGAACAGCCCACTGTACAAATGTTACTCAATTCAGCCTTCCCTCTTAAAAGCGATACCAGTGAGCACTCTCACACGGTAGGTTTATAGACTTTTTTTCATCTCTGCCCCATCACAATTCAGCTAGACCACTCTGCCATCGTTCTTACCAGCACTGTTGGAAATAATACCTGCAAAGTAAACATAGAATAGTTTGAATTTGAGCATCACCAGAGAATGCCTGCTCTGCTCCAGCCTTCCCATCATTCACAAGGTTGAAAGAGGTCTTAAGGGAAGGAACATTTTATGAATTAGAGGGAGAGAAGCAAAATGTTGGAAAAAAGAGGATTTTCATGCCCTACTGTATGAAAAATAACAACTCTATACACTAAAAATACAAGCCAAACAGCACGTTACTTAAATTGTTCACAAAGGAATCACTGTAAGACAAGTTATAAACAAAAATTAAGAATATTCAGGCATGTTCTACAGTATCTGAAAAAGCATCAAATGGAATTTTTCAATGGTAATTGAATTTTTGGAATAACCTCAATATTCCTAATAGTTTTTAAAAAAATGCATGTAACTTTATTACTAACAAAATAGAAGACATACAATATAACTGGGGTGTTGCTCAATACAAATCTACCTTTGGACAAGCAAGATTCCAGACAAGATCAGAATGTAATTCAATTTGCAGTAATGATTTTCAACAATATTTTCCATACATAACCTTGAATATTAAAATTCCGCTTCTCTAATCAACTCCTACCTAGTTATGTCTTCCAACAGCTGTCTGTCATGCTGAATCCACTGGAATTAGGTGCAGGAATAACAACCCCTTGTTTCTGCAGTTCACGTAAAACATCGAGTATTGAATCCAATTCTACTCGAAATCTTTCCAGTTCTTGATTCTTCTGTTGTGCCAGTCTTCGCCACTTCGCAGCCTCCTGGCTTTGCCTTGCTTCAGTAATATGTTGTGTTACATGGGCTGCCTGCAAATTAGAGGCAAGTCAGTATTGTGACTTCCTCGTCAAACACGCAGCCAGCGTTGCCCCTTTGCAAAAATATGCTACTTCATTATAAACTTAAGTATATGCTCAGTCTCAAAGCCCAGTGCACACATTAAGTGGAAACAATTGGTTCTGAATATTACAAAACTCATTCTGATAGCAATGAATTCCTTTAAATAGTTGCGTTAATGGCAGAAGGGTAAAATCCATTATTGACTAACAAGCCTCAGGAGAGTTTAACTCTTCCTCTCCAAAGCAGCAATTAAAGGTTTGAGTATTTAAGACAAAGCTGAGCATGTAACATAAAACCCTCTATAATAAAAATGAACCTTTTGAATTGCCATTTAAATGCGTTAATTAAAAGAATGCTCTGCAAGACAAACAAATCAAAGCTGAATTACATGTTCTGGGCTATTACTGTACTTCAAGCTCTATGAATTATCAGGAAATAAGCTGTAGTCACAAACGTTGGAAGCTGCAGCAGATAAGAGTTTGAATTCATTTTGACATGAATCCATGGCATATTCTTATTAAATTACCCCCCCAAAAATGTGTCACAAAGTATCAAAATCTCCACACCACTATTAATTGTAATAGATTATTTCAGGAAAGCTCTATCACTTAAAGGCCATAATTACAGTACTTGTAGTTTGATACTAAAGATAACCTGTTAGTTTCTGGCTCAGTAATTAGTTAATTTCATTATCATTCATTTGGGGGACTGTTTGATGCCCCACTGCAGATGATTAAAGCTTCCAAACTAGGACAAACAAAACCCAAAGCTTAATACATAACAAGTCTCGTAGCACCAGGAAAGATGAAATTACTTAGCAGTAATTATTTCATATACTATTATTTCTATTTTTTTTTAATACACTACAAAACATCTTAGTAAATACTGTAGGTCAGGTAATGAATTCAGTGGAGACAGATCACGGACTGTGCAGCAGCGCACACTTTACAGAAATGGTAAAGAAATTCTCACATTATACAAAAGGAAATGAACAGTATAAAAAAGTAACTGTATGACAGTTGCCTGTAGCAGGACAGAATGTGAACAAAAATAAAGTGATCAGTGGTGGCAGGGTTTGTTCTTAATCCAGTGACTTGTTTTATACACAGCTCTTTTTGGAAAGAAAATAAATTATCTGATGTAGAAATGTCTGAGAATAAAACCATGAACAATTCTGTACATCTTTCTTGAGATCTGGTTTCAAAGCTGTAAAACTACACAAACTTAGAACTACTACAGGTTTGATGATCTTCTAGTCCAACCGCCCTTCTTTGACCTCATGTATTTAAGTAAAACCTAAGGGAAAACACTAATGAAAGACAGTCATATATTTAAGCAATGAAAGTGTTAAAAAAAAAAAAATCTAGCCAAACTAGAAAACTGCTTCCAGATAATAGAAGTTCCCATGATAAATGAAAAATCAGGATGGAGGCCATGACATAAGAAGAAAAAATTCAGTGCAAAATTGTTTTACTCATTCAAGGGATACCAATGTCAGGTACAAGAATCTGATCCAACCTTCAAAATCCAAAATTTTTAGTTTGTGGAGGATAAAGTTGTTTTGTTGTGTTTTGTTTTGGTTTTTTTTTTTTTTTTTTTTGTCATTTTCGGGTATTAAAACCAGTATGTGGTAGACTGCTACAAGATTTTTCTATACTTTCAATGCAGGTTTTCTGAATGGGACTTCTAGGACTAGAAAATAAAATTACAGTTCAGTTGAGAAATATCATAGCTTAACAAACCCTGCATTACAAACTCTCATCAATTTTTCAATAGCTAGCGTTCATTGCATAATTGAAATATGAAATAACTGAATGATACAAGGAACTTCCAGAGATCATGTGGTCCAGCCCTCTGCAGAAGCAAGGCCTCCTTAGATCAGGTTGTGAGGAGGTTATGCACCTGATATGCAAGTCATGTACAAGTAATCTTAATTACCACAGCAAGGATGTGCTGACTGGGACTGCATCTACATCCACGTGCATCAGCAGGCAGCAAAGACAAAACCATGGCTGTATCAAAAATTACTTGCCCTCCTGCAGCGTGAGCGAAACGAGCCTGTGCAAATATCATAAAATTACATTTAAACTGACAAATTGCTCGAGAAGCAAATGCAGATACACTCTGGTGTACCTTTTGAATTTCTTGCTCTCTTTCTGCATGTCTGGTCTCCATATGCTTGATTTTCTTTTCCAGGCACAAGAAATGTTTCATTTCAGGACTCTGGCTCTCCTTAGCCTCTCTCAATTCTTCCAACAGTTTCGCCACCTACAGTTTGAAAGAACTGATGAAAATTGCTATCATTGTGTTAAACAAAGTATAAAGCAGATTCCTTTCAAAGTGTATTTGCGTTGTTTAATCATTCCATTCAAAAGCTGCAGAAAGGAAGACATAAAAGAGAAATCTCCTTTATTCAAAAGCTTAAACAGGAGCTCAGGGACTTAGATTAGGATCTTTCATTTGGAAGAAGTGATCATGAAGATATGAAAATCTAGTCCTTTTACATAAATCCAAGCCTGCTTGTAATATGTTATGAAGTGACTATTCACAGTCAATTTTTATACTTCTAATGATACTAAAAAAATATTAGCGAATATTATTATTAGATGTTCTTACACAGTCCCTTCTCACACCCTGGATAAAGATCAAATATAAAATGTACCAGTGCCTTTCTAAGGAGTAAATTGAGAAAAGAAACGCTGCTAACAGACATGATTACAAACCCCCTTTCATCTGGTAATTGCCAGGTCAAATCAACTCTACTAATGACTTGCAACCGATTTCCTAATCCTCCAGAAATTCAGGTAAGCTTTTGTATAAACCCGACTGTTTTATTCTCATTCTTTGATTATTTTAAGTAGCTTGATGTTTCTTCATTTAACATCCTAAGTCTTTTTTGGTTACCTTCTTAATGTGTAGAAGTAAACTGAAGTGAAAGCTTTCAAGTCTTTATCCTTTATTACAACCCTTGGCTCCCCTTATTCGGTATATCTGGGAACTGCTAATGCTCTTCAAGCACTGAGCCATCCTTGGCTCTCTGCTGCTGAATTCAAGTAGCTGGAAGCATTGTGTCTTTGTAAGGTGTTACCACTCTTCCCGCGAAGTGGCTCCAAGATGGCTTACTGTTATTTCCATTGGTTAATAGGGTTTTCTAAACTACTGTGGCAGGTGCCGCCGCCCGACACCACTGGAACCCTCTCGACCGTTGAACCACAGCTCTCCCTAGTGACGACTGTCATGTCGGCACTTCAGTTGAAGGGCAAGGCCCTCAGCCAGTGAAACGCTTCAGCCGAGAGAAACTTCTAGACTCTTAACCATGTATCACCACAGCTCAGGCTTGACCAAGGGTATAAATGCAGTCCTGCCAGAGGGCAAACACAGGCAGTCCTCCCCGGAGCAGCGGCCTGCAGCCAGGGTCTCTCCCCTTGGGTCGGGACGCCGCCCAGAGTAGCTCCTCGAGGCCTTACTGGGTCAGTGATTGCACATTTTGGATCCTCATTTCTAAAACTTAAGGATTCTTAAGTTGGTTGTGTAGTATCAATTCCGCTTGGCATCTTGAAGCTGTAGTTTGCTAATGTTTCTCAGAGTGCTAAATGATTTTGATTAGAACAAATTTCATTCCTAGTTTATCACCTGTTAAACAATTTTGGTTAGAATAAATTTCCTTTGAGTTTGTCACCTGCCTAATTTCATTTTGTAAGCCTCTACGACAAATAACAAGGCCTATGTTATTACATTTTTGCCTGTCCATTACTCCACCAGCTTTGAACCTGCAGGCCAATTTCAGCCACATCTGTCAGAGAAGCCAAAGTCTTTAGTTTCATAAGGTCTGTGAAACTGAGTGCAGCCTGGCTGCTAGGTTGCCACACTGAAGGCAAGGGCTGATGTGTGATCTCAAGTACATAATTAAATACAAGAAAAAAATCATTCAGGAAAGATGTTATGAGGGGAAAAAAGCCCCAGGAGAAAATGGGCTCCATATAATTTGCCAGCAACAGAACTTTGCTAAATACAAAGCTGTGCTACGCGCAAGCTGTTATGCTAGGAAAGTATATAGTTAATGGAAAACATCCATAAAGAGCATTTCTGAAATTAGTAATCAAATAACAATCTTCCAAGGAGCCCTCAGGAAAAAAGGTTGCCTTTTTTGAGGTACCACCATTTTAGGCAGAGGACTCAATCCCATTATAAGTGGTAGTGCTTTTCCCTATCATGACTTAATTCCATTTGTAGGTTTGGTTGCCTTCTTTTTTCGGCTCAACTTATTTACACCAATTAATGCTTAAAATGTATTTTATAAGCAGCACAGCAATCATGCTAGAGGGCAAATGCAAGGTTTTACTTTGTCATTTTCCTCTGTATAGTCCTGCAGTGACTTTTGTTAATAAAAGGCACTCCATTACATTTTCTTATATGCCAGCACCTTGAACTCAGCCTGTAATATGTGGGTCAGATAGGACGATCGTTCTCTTAACCATCACTGTCATTAATAATCTGTAAAGTAGCCACAGAAGAAACAAATTAATAACATTTTTCTCATTGTTCTCTTGCCCCGTTTTACTAGGAGGAAGTATTATATACACTGAGATCACTGAAGTGAAACAAGCTTGTACGGAAAGACAACACGTACCATTAGATTCATAATATGAACCCAAAGTCTCAGCAAATATTCTGCAAATACAGAGCTTGTTTAAGAGGAGATCTTTTTTCTCTCCCTACAAACCCTCACTTTTCTATAAATACTTCACAACCCATTATGCATGGGTAAGATAAATACTGAGTGAGTTTAGTGAGATTAAGATTAATTACATTAAGTACATACTAAACACATACTGATAATTCTCTCATTTCTTTTAAATAAGGGCAGCAAACAAGATTAAATGTCTGGAGTTCTCAGTCCCTTACAGAATAGGAGAATTCTTTTTAATAACTCCTGCAGGTTAATTACTGTATTATCAAAATTAAGTTAAAATTAGCCATGTTCATACATCAAGGAGATGGTGAATTAAGCATAGGCACAATGCTAAGACGGGCTATATCCTCCTCCCAAACAGGAGGTGATAAAAAAAAACAAACAAACAAACAAAAAAAAAAACTGGCAGCACTTCAAGAGCAATGAAAACATAGCCAGTAGTTAAAAAACCTTGAGCTAAAAGATGGACAGCAATTTTACACAATATTAACCCAAAAATTAAAACATGAGTAAGTGTAATTTTTAGATTATATGCTATTACTAGAAGTAGATTAGGAAAAACCCAGATACCTCCCTCAAAACCCAGTGAATTTCAGAAGAACTATACAGCTAACCTTCTCTTCCTAAGAGACCTTAAGTTTCACAGATATCAAAGCAGAAAACCAAGAATATAATTGTCTAAGTTTTATGGCAGTGAAGGATGAAAAAAGGAAGGCTTTATCTGAACAAAGAATTTGAAAACAGTAACAAAATGTCCTCTTAATACAGAAAAAGTCCTGTGGTCTATTTACTACCCATCACAGCTCTCAAGAAAGAGGCTATGAATGCTTGGATTAACCTGATGATCAATTTTCATACAGAGGTCAGACATTTCTAACTAAACAAACAAACAAAAAAAAAAGAGGTTAAAGTTCCACCTTCTGTTCTGTGTTGTTCTCTTGTTCACATCAGAAATACATTACATCTTTAGGTGTAATTGATGTAGAAGCAACTGAAAAAGATACTGTCTTTATAACTTATTTTACTATATATTATTTGGGGCTTTACAAGGATGAAAGTGAAAACCTTTTATTAGAATAAGGTGCCTCCAATCCAAATTTAAATATACCTCTTTTTGTAGGAGTTCCTCTCGCATCTGTGAAACTAAAAGGGCTTCCTGATGTCTCTGTTGTTCACCGATTTGTTCTTGGAGGTGTTTTATTATTATCTGCAACAAGATTAAAAGTATTCTGTCATTAACATAAATACCCCTGACAACGTGTGAAAACCTATGCAGGAAAAATACACCAAAAATATAATCAGTATTGTAGTACTGCAGGTGTGAGGTGTGTATTAACAATACTACCTCTAACGTATGTGTTTAACTGTCCTCTACATGGATTGTTAAATAGCACACATGTACATATACAGTATAAGAAAACAAATCTCAATCTTCAAGTTATGTTCTTCAGTTAAAAAAAGTTCTGAAATAATCTGAATGCAGTATCTCTTTCTACCTTCATACCGCGTGTAAAACTTCTCCCAAAATTTTAACGCACAAATAAAATCAGAGGTCCAGGTCCTCACAAGGAACTTCAGCCACCCTGATACCTGCTGGAGGAACACCACAGCATGGCATAAGCAATCCAGGAGGTTCCTGGAAAACACTGATGACACCTTCCTGGCCCCAGTGACAGAAAAGCCAGTGAGGAGAGGTGCTCTGCTGAGCCTTAAACTCACAAACAATAAAGGGTTTGCTGTGGACATGAAAGTCAAAGCCAACTTTGGCTGCAGTGACCATGAGATGGTGGAGTTCAGGATCCTGAGGAGGGAGCAGGCTGAAAAGCATGACCACAGCCCCGGACTTCAGGAGGGCAGACTTTGGCCTCGAAGATCTGCTTGAAAGAGTCCCATGGGATGGGGCTCTGGGGGGAAGACAGGCCCGAGAAAGCTGGCTGACATTCAAGGATCATCTCCTCCAAGCTCAAGAGCAGTCCATCCCAACAAGCAAGAAGGCAAGGCAAAAACTCCAGGAGGCCTGCATGGATGAACAAGGAAGTCCTGGCAAAGCTCAAACATAAAAAGGAAGCCTACAGATGGTGGGAACAAGGACAGGTAACTGGGGAGGAATACTGAGACACTGTCCAAGTGTACAGAGATGTGGTTAGTAAAGCCCAAGCCCACTTGGAATTGAACCAGGTGAGACTGAAAAAGGCAACAAGAAGGGCTTCTCTAAGTACCTAAGTGGCAAGCAGGAAACTAGAGAAAATGTGTGCCTGCTGATGAACGGGGCAGGGGCCCTGGTGACCCAGGATATGGAAAAGGCTGAGGTACCGAATGCCACCTTCACCTCAGTCTTTACTAGCAAGCCTGGCCTTCTGGAATCCAAGTCCCCAGAGACTAGGAGACAAGTTTCAGTGAGAAAGAAAGACCCTTGGTGGAAGAGGATCTGGTCAGGGAATACTTATGCAAACTGCATGTATGTAAGTCTGTGGCCGTGACAGGATGCAGCTGTGTGTGCTGAGGGCAAATGTCACTCCTACCTTCAAAAAGAGCAAGAAGGAGTACGCGGGGATCTACAGGCTAGTCAGCTTCACCTCGATACCTGGGAAGGTTGGATGAGCAGACAGTGAGGTGGATTGCAAACTGACTTAAATGGCTGGGCCAGAGGGTGGTGATGAATGTAATGAAGTCTAGTTGGAGGCCAGTAACTTGGGGTGGGTGGTGTGTAAAATTGTCAGTTCTGGGTCCAATCCTGTTCAACATCTTCATTGATGGTCTGGATGATGGGGCAAGTTTGCTGACCACACAAAACTTGGAGGAGTGGCTGATACACCAGAGGGTTGTGCTGCCATTCAGAGGGTCCTCGTTAGGCTGGAGAGACGGGCTGACAGGAACCTCATGAACATCAACAAAGGAAAATGCAAAGTCCTGCTCCTGGGCAGGAACAATGCCAGGCACCGGTACATACTGGGGGCCACCCAGCTGGAAAGCAGCATGGCAGAAAAGGACTTGGGTGTCCTGGTGAACAAGTGGAACAAAAGGCTAATGGTATCCTGGGCTGCGTTAGTACCAGAGTTGCCAGCTGGTTGAGGAAGGTGGTTCCCTTTCCCTCTACTCAGCTCTGGTGAGGCCACACCTGAAGTACTGTGTCCAGTTCTGGGTTCCCCAGTGCAAGACATGGAGCTACTGGAGAGGGTCGGCAAAGGGCCACTAAAGTGATGAAATGACACTGAGAGCACCTCATATAAGGAAAGGCTGAGAGAGCTGGGACTGTTTCACCTGAGGAAGAAAAGGCTCAGGGGGATCTCATAAATTTTTACAAATATCTGAACAGAGGGTGCAAAGCCAAGAGAGGCGGGCTCTTTCCAGTAGTGCCCAGTGACAGGAGAAGCAACAAAGGTCATGAACTGAAATACAGGAGGTTCTGTCTGACCAGAAGAAAAACTTCTTTACTGTAAGGGTAACCAAGCACTTGTTTGGGTCTTTAAGCCCAGAGAGGTTGTGGAATCTCCCTCCTTGGAGATATTAAAAAGCCATCTGGAAATGGTCCTGAGCAACTGGCTGTAGATGATCCTGCTTGAGCAGGGGAGTTGGACAAGATGACCTCCAAAGGTCCCTTCCAACCTCAGCTATTCTGTGATTCTGTGAATACAGTGGAGCAAGGGACCATTTTTAAAACAATAGATCCTACTTCAAAGAAAGATAAAGTTTCTGGTAATATAGAAAGAAATAACTTTAACAGATATCTAGACATAATGAATGTATCTACTGTATCTTACCTCCTGTGTTGAAATTCTGCTGTTTAGTTCAGCTACTTTAGAAGTAGAATGCTCCTTTGCATGCTGGCAAAGAATCTTCTCCACTTCCCTCTGATGGGAAGCTTCCAGAGATGCAATGTATTCTGCTGTGTCTTCCTGTATCCTGAACAGAGTGAGAGGAAAATAAGATGTAATAAAGTAGCTACAGACAGTTCTTTAAAAATGCAGCAAAGTTTCTCACTTGAACATATAAAATATCAAAAACGTTGAAGGTGGCACGTCTTTGAAATTTTATAACAAAACATCGCAAGATTGCACCACCATCGCTTCCACTGTTCTGGAGGGATGACAAGGTGGGAAGCCTACAATGTTGGATGTGTGCCTCATTTAACTAGATGCAGCTAGAATACAGAAAACTCAGCCAATCATCTTTTTTGGTTTGTCTTCTGAAAAAACAGAAGAGAAAATAGGTGCTTTTAAGTCATAATGCAGCTGTCCTATTTCAGGTATCTATTTCAAAACAGAATGTGTTACAATCTAAATATGCCAATTTCCTCTAATTTAACTATGAAGGGATGTAAGGGAGACCAGGTGAAGTGTAAAGTTTCTACAGTTGGTCAGGTAAATCCCACTGAAAGCACACCCCAGTTTGAAGAAAAGTATGTGTACTGAATATTAATGCCATACAACACAAATACAAAGCACCTAAGATGCAACGATTTACACTGAGATCTTCTCACTCAAAACCATGACAAACTGTAGTATTAATAAGAAGGATAATATAGGTTTGCCTGTAGAAAGAAGCGTGACAGTGCTGTGCTCTAAAAAAACAAAACCAAAACCAACAAACCCCACTCCAAAAAACCCTTCAAACCAAAACCAAACAGTAAAAAAGAAATTTATAGAGAACGCTGGCCAAGTATAAGCTAGCTTCACACACGGTTGACGTTAATGTGTCATTTCAATCCTGCATCAGCCAACACTTTAACAAGGTTTTTAAAGGCACATGTCAAGCATTTACCTTCGCATATTATTTTCAGAATAAGCCAGTGTTGCTTGAGACTTCACCCTCTGCTGGTTCATTTCTAGAGACAATCTTTCTATATCCTCTTTCAGCTGTGCATTTTCTTGCAGAACTTCCAAAAGATCAGAATCAGAAAAGGTATGCGGTTGGTATATTTTGTCATCATTGAAAATGCTTTGAAAGGGTTCACTGTTGCTGGAATTCCTTTTATCCGTTGTTGACGTATTCTTTTTCAAAATCTCTGTAGAGTTTTCCTTATTATCAGTTTTATTTCTTAAATTATTATCAGACAACATCACCATCCTTTCTTTTTGAAGTTTCTCTACAGTTTTTGTAAGGTCTTGTATTTCTCTATTTTTGGTGACCAGTTCTTCATTTAGTTTTATCAGTCTGTCTTTTGTGTTACCTTGTTTCATTTGACAGTCTGTGGATTCTATGTCTTTATTATCTTTTTTACTTCTGAGTTTTAATTGGGAATTTTGACTTTTAAGGTTTTCAATTTCTGTCTGGAGGTTTTTAATGGTGATCTGATGGGTCATCTTTAGATTCTGAAGCTCCTGTTCAAGCTCTGTAGAACTGGCTTTATCAACATTCAGTTTTGGTGATTCACTCATAAATTTGTAGGCGAGTAGTTGCTCAAGCTCCACAAGTCTTTGTTCATACTGTACCTAAGGGAGGGGAGCAGGAAGAGGGGAAGAAAAAGCAGTTTCTTCAAGTGTACTTTTATTATTAGCTTTTCTTATCATTCTTTAAAGTTACTGCACATCTGAAGCATGATTTCACAAGACAGGATACACATCAATATTGCTAACAACACTCCTCAAGCAGTTCAGAAATTAGTGAAAAAATTACATGAAGCAAACTTAAGTCAGAATTACTCAAAACATTTCATATAAAGTAATCCTCTACTCACAATGAATGCAGTAACTATTGGAAAGAAGATTAAATTTACAATAAATGATTAAATTTTTAAATAATTGAGTTCTCTTCTGATGTTACCTATTCAGATGGTAAAGTAACATTTTAATATAGCAAGAAGTCTTTAATTTTTTTAAAATGTCATTATGTACTTGCCATATGTCAGTTTGCAAACATTACCGTCACATGCCTCAAAGTTTTACTTCACATTTTTAAAAAACACCTTAAATTTTAACAGGTCAGATTTTTATATTTATTTATTTGTAAGTGTGAATATAGAAGTTTGAATTCAGAGAGACACAGAATCTTTCTTCCTAATGAGCTGAGGAACACTTAACCCTTCTTAATAGCCTGTATAGCCTCTGAGGAAAGCAGGATGAGGTATTCATACGGAGAAATGGAGGAATAATTGGCCAATGCTTTCCTTTCCTGCTCATTAAGCACCTGTGCAGTTCACCTTTTCCTTCAAGTAATGTGCCAGACTTCCATGCTTCCTAACACAAGTCTTAAGACTCGCTATCATGTAATTTTTGGATAGAATGTTTAGTGTTCCCAGACATTCCCTGCAGAAATGCTCGGTCAGCTTTGAAATCACTGCCGTTGGTAGAACAAGGAATTAGGTAAGCAGCTGCTCTGACTCAGAAAATGAAACCCACTTATCTTAGTTGTATGAATTAAATTATGCCTCAAGAACTTGTCTCCTCAGTTTCAATACTACACTAACAATTTCAGTGCTCTTTTTATCTTAGGTGCTGTAGCTACTGAAATTCTGGATGTAAATTCTTTGAATATTTTTCCCCTTGAATGTAGTCGTTGCCTTCAGTTTTCACCACTACTCTGTGTTAGACCCCAGTAACCTTGTGACAGTTACGTGCAGAGAAGACTACTCAACAAGCCTGCAGCTTTTACCTTTATTTTTTGAAATTGTTGTTCCATTGCACGGAGACTTTTCTTAGCTTCATCATCTTTACCTTCAAGTTCTGTTTCTAACTTTTTTATTCTTCTCTCCAAAAATTCAACTGTGTTTGATTTAGCTGAAAGATCGTTAGTTTTCTCAGCAGCAGCAGCAGCATAAATCAAAGCGGGCAAAGAATTTGGATACCTTCTCTTTAGAATTCCTTCCATTTCTCTGATCTATCAAAAAGAAAATTAAACCAAAGTCAAAAAGAATGAAGTTCTAATGAAAAGTTAACTGAAACAAGGGACAAAATGTTAACAAATGTCATCCACTTAAGCTGGGTGAAGAATGAAAACTAGAGTTGCATATGTTGAGAAATTTTTTACATTGTTTACATTTAAGTTATTGTTTACAGAAAAACAAGACTCATCATCTCTTACTGACTGACTTATCATCTTATACAAAATACTGCTCTGATCTTCAGATTGGCTTATGTCAAATGGACCTTTTATTTACTTTCTTAGCACTTAAATTGTATATGGCTCTTAATGCTGTTAAAGTATTTGCTTTTTTTCTGGACTTACATTCATGTTCTACTTTTCCAACTCTTAGAGAGATATTTCATAACACTATTAAAATTATTCTCCCAATAACACATTATACGTGTTTTATTTTGCAGTCTGCAGTAAAACTAACACCTTGCATGGAAGACTAGTAACAAGCCCCTCTTACCTATGGAGAAGATATTTTCACATTAGAATACTGCAGAAGCTCTTTACTGTTTGTCCCACATCCCTACCAAATGCAGCTGCCATCTCCTAAGATTCAGAAAGGCCCACTTCCACCTGACTTTTCCTTAGCAGAAACATACATTTTTAAGGTCTCTACTCCCCCAGTTTTGATGAACCTTGTGGAAATCTAATAAAATTTAAACCCCTACTCTTGAATCACCTTGGCTAAAATTGGTCACAGAATTAAGGGATTACTGAACATAGACAGAAGGAGTCTTAGAAGATAAACAGCAAGCTTGTGTGTGCTTTTGTCCTCTTGCCCCTTTTGAAGAAACTCTAAACATTATTTTGCTGCTAAAGGGTTTTAAAAGGGATATCAGTAAATAACTTATTATAACATAGTAGCAGAAGAGCCCTTTGTAAGTAAATAATCACAGCTTTTTGTGTCGGGCATTCCATTCGATGCTTTATCCTTATGAAAGGGCTGATAAGTGTTTTAAGAGACCTTATCTGAAATAAAGGGTAAATGAAACACAGTTCTATTATTGCATACTTGTCGCTCAAGATCCTGAATCCGTTTAGCATCTGCTGCTCTGTCTCGCAAACGTTTCTTCTGTTGCATACACTGATCTCCAGCTTCGGCTCTAAGCTTCTCAACCTATCCAATTTATGAGAAAATAAATTGAAATACATATTCAGAGATATTGTCCTGTAGTACAAAAGCAAGTAATTCAAAGACACATAATATAATGGAAGTATTCTGCTACTTAAAAACTGGTAATAGTAATTTCTGTATTAACTCATTCTTCAGGTTCTTTAAGTTACAGCTTCTTCAAGCAATTTAAGATCAAAGGAGCTGAAACTAGCTATGGAAATCTAGAAGAGAACTTCAGCTCTGGGACATTCTTGTCTTCAGACCAGTGAATCTGCTTCTTTCTCCCATACTTCCAGTCTGCAGGCTTGGTTAATAAGCTATATTATAAAGTACTATAGTGTAATACATGCATTCAGGGTGAGTTAAGGAAATAGTTCGTGATATGCAAGGCTATGCTCCGGGATGAGATATAGAAACAGCCAAAAAGCAGTGTTACGTTGTACCTAAATAAATGCTGACTCCCAGGATCAGGGGAAGGAACTGGATAGCTAACACTCCTGCCCTCCCATAACGTCCAACCACAAAGACTCAAAGCTTTAACCTTAAAATGAATTTCCTACTTTTATCAGCCACTGCGATCATTGTACAGGGATATTACACCTTGTATAGTTGGAAGTATTCCTTTCTTGATTTCCCTCTCACATTGGCAATGTTAGCGTAAGTAATGCTTTTATGCCAGCATAGTTTGACTAATTTGATTATTTCTATTAAGTCAAAGCTCTTCATTGGTTTTGAACACCAGTCCATCCTGGAGAAAATTCAAATAAAAATATTTTCTTTCACAGCAATGATATGTCGATCAAAGTTGGATATGGTGGTGTTTAAGGGATGTCCTTTCCTGGGTGCTCCTTCAGAACCACCTCTTTTCATCTCTGATCTCCCTAATAAAACACCATGAAAAAATTCCAAGATCAATTATATTTTATCATTGGTAAAATTAATTATTTCTGTGAATCCTGTCAAATGTCCTGACAAGCAGGCAATGCAAATCTCAGAACTATTCAAGATTCGTGTATTAGTTTTGCTTGCTTTGTATTTTGACTTTTTCCTCCCTACTACAGCAACCAGAGGATTTTTCTAAGAAAGAATTTAGAACCAGTACTTAAGAGAAAAAGTAAGTGTTGCCTATGCTAACATGGAGTAAAAAGGAGGAAAAGAGAATGACAAGAGGGATGTTCCAAGCTGTTAATGTGCTTCCTTTTCTTAGTCAAGAAATCTACAGGTTTTAAGGAAACACATTACTTTCATTTCCAGAAGAGTCATCAAGATATCCGATAGAAGCAAACCTGGTTTTTAAGCATTCTGCACTTGCAACTCTCACTGCATAAGCAGTAATATACATTTTGCATCAAAAGACTCCACAGTTGATTTAGAGGTTATAAAGAGTTTACATGTTTTTTCTTGAAATAAATTCGATTATTATGAAGGAGAGAATTACATTATACTCATCACCAGAAAAAAAAATAATTTAAAGTTCCAACTTCTTAGATAAAGCTAGATATTATCACCTCTAGTTTTAGCTTCTCAATTTCTTCTCTTGCATCTTTAAGACGGGCTGCATCTTTATCCAGAAGATCTTGATTTTCTGCGTACCACTGAAGTCTTCTTTTTAAATGAGTGATTTCCTGTTTGTATGATTCTTCCATAACTTTAAATTCATAAGACTTCTCACCTACAAGAATAAAACATCCTTAGTATTATTTTATTAGTAATTACATATTGAAAAAAGTAATTAGTCAACACTGTCCTTCTCAGCACATTTCATATATTTACTCTCTTCACAATCCTGTTAATGCAGCAAAGTTTTAAAACCAGACCCTAATTAGGATTTTAAATGCAACAGTATTTGAAAAAAACTTCTTTTCTCTCATACATAGTAGTACTCAATGGTTCAGTCTACCATGGAAAGTATCTAAAACAGAATCCCAGGGGGATCTGTTCCTGATCACGTTCTAGTAAACAAGTATTCAGTAATATGGATGACAATATAGAATATATGCTTAGATATGTATTGACCCTACTCCTATTGAAGGATCAAGCATTTTGAGAGGAGACATGGAGGTAAGTATTACAGCTCTTAGCATTTGTGATGCCTGAGAATGGAAGAGAAAGAGTCCAATTTCTGGCCCTCTTGCCTTAAGAAGGCTAAAGTCAAACTGGAAAGAGTTCTGATAACAGTGTTGAAAAAAAGTCACAAGACGTAAGTTATAGGTAAAAAATGGGAAAGATCTAAATTGAAGACTGCGATGTGATATAGTAAATCTTTCATTATGAACAGCTGTCATGTAAATGGAATCCTCTGTTTTCCACGGCCAGTGGAAGATGGGCAAGAAATCAATAGGCAACAACAAAGAGTTTAGCTGGATACAAGAACAGGCTTTCTCATAGAGTGCCAAAGGTACTGTAGCATGTCCTTCACTGTATGCTTTTATTGTAAGTATAAACAATATTTGGAAACGGTCTAGATGAATTTGACTAAATAATATTTTAGTAAGAAACAAGTTTTAGTTACATTTTTATATAGTGAAGCACAGAGTAGACAAAATTGTTCAGCAAAATTAAGGCACTTTACCTGATGTGGATGCAATCTGGACTTTTGCTATATCTCTCTCCTTCTTTGCTTGTCCCAAGTCTACTTCAAGAGCTTGCTTATCTTGTTTGAGACGTCTTATCTCTTCTTGTAATTTAGCTTCTTCCTTCTGAGTTTTAGAGAAAACAATAGGACAAGAAAAACTAAAACACACACCGTCATACAAAAAACCTGAGCATGCTTTTTCACCATAAAATGATTAAATCACAACAGTTGCACAGCAGATCACAGCACCAATGAGGTTTTCTAGTTTTGTTATTATTCTCAGGCCGTGCTATAGCACAGCATGGGAAAACTCAGGCTAAATATATAAAAAAAAATATCATTTCTTTTTAAAATAAGTGTTACATAACTGTCCTAGAAGTAGAAAATACCTGCATTTTGAGAGGGTCTGTAAGAAAATGGCTTTATTTATTTCTAAGACTTAAGACTGTAGCTTAAATGGACTGATGTACTGTCCAACAGATATTACTATATTCTATTTCTTGCTGTTTTCTGCATGCACTCTCTGTTCTGTTTGTTTATGCATGATCACTAGCAAACTTCAAGACTAAGGAGGATGAAAGGCTCAATGCCAGTGCCACCTCTGGAGATGAAGACCCCTAGTCCTAGGGATCCACAGGTACAGGAAGCAGCAACTAGAGGACTGAGATTTTGGGGCCAGCCAGTAAATAGACCAAGTGTCTAGGGCCAGCAAAGGTGTGTTGGATTCCTGTGGCATGGTTTTTGGTAGTGGGGAAAGAGGTGACAGCAGCAGCCCACTTTGAGAAGCTTCTCAAAAGCTCCCCCAGCTCCAAGTTGGATGCACTGCTGGTCAAGGCTGAGCCAATTAGCAATGGTGGCTGTGCTCCTGCAATAATGTGTTTAAGAAGGGGAACCTGGGAGGAGGAGTGGGGAGTTGTGAGGAAGAGTTGAGAGGAGGACACCTATGGAATACAGAGGTCAGGGGAAAAAAAGAAGTAGGAAGCAGGGGGAAGGGTGCCAGTGCAGAGACTCCCCTGCAGCCTGTGGTGAGAGGGCAGGCTGCCCCGCTGCTGCCCTCGTGGAGCAGATGCCCACCTGCAGCCATAGAGGACCCCATGCTGCAGCAGGTGGCTGCGCCCAAAGGAGGCCGGGACTCTATGGGAAGAAGCCCCTACTGTTGTAGTTCAGTGATGGGAGGACTGCAAGATGTGGGAGGGACCCACACCAGAGCAGCTCAGAAAGGGCTGTGGCCTGTGGGAAAGACTCATGTTGGAGAAAGTTCGTGGAGGACTGTCTCCTGTCAGAGGGACACCATGCTGGAGCAGGGGAAGAATGTGAGGAGCACCCTCCCTGAGGAAGAAACAGCAGGACTGACTGCACCCCCCCATTCCCTGCCCCCTGCACTGCTACTGCAGGGGAGGTAGAGAAATCAGGAGCAAAACTGAGCCCAGAAAGAAGGGAGGGGCTTGAGGGGGAAGGTGTGTTTAAGATGTGATAAGGCTTCTCACTGTCCTAATCTGTTAACTGTCTGTTAAGTGTTGCTGTTGTTACTGTCTGAATTAAATTAATGTTCTTCCTCTTCCCCTAATGAGTCTGTCTTTTGCCCATGAAAAAAATGGGTGAGCCATCCCTCCCTGTCCTTATGTAGATTCCTGAGCCTTTTGCTTTATTTTGTCCTTCCCATTCCTCAGGGGGAAGGTGCGAGCAAGCGGCTGTGTGGTGCTCAGTTGCCCTCTGGGCTTAAACCATGACAGATAGTTACGTGTTTTTTTTGTGAGAACACATGAAAAGCAGGCTTGGTATATACCTACCTGTGCTGCTCGAAGCTCTGAAATCAATTCTGTGAAACTTTGATTTCTGCCTGGTTCAGAATCCTGCACAATTTGTGACTGGGAATTAGTCTTCTGTACCTTTTCTCTAAATGGCAACAGCAAAAAGTTATGCAATGTGGTGACCTGGCATACTAACAGTGGTGTACTAAAAAACAAACACAACCCCCCACCCCAAATGGTACCACAAAGTTAATCCATGCAAGCTCAAAACAAAGAAAGAAGCAACTATGCAGTACATATATTTCGACACATGAGCAGAGCTCTAATACCGAGTGTAGTACATGTACTATACATTCTGATAAGAATAACAGTATTTGAATTTTAACACTGAAATATTCTCCAGATGAAATACTCTAGTCTTCTCACAGGTCTGCAACATCAGCAAGAAGACTAAGTACCCATAATCAACACAAAGAAATTCTCAAAAGAAAAAACAAAATCACAAACCCAAGAAACACTGGAAAACATGCACCTGATGGACTCCACAGTGATTCTTCATAAATAAAATAATAAACACAGTTGAAAACACCAGAGATTTTAGGTCAGATGTTTAAATGAGCCTACCTTAAGGCTATTATTTCAGACATTAAACACTGATTTTCCTTAAACATTCGTTCCTCATTTTTTTTGTTTTGGATTTGTAGCTCTTTCATTTGTTTGTATAACTTCTCATTTTCCTAAGTTGGGACAGACAAAGATAAAGAACGTTCATAAAGTATTTTTATCTAGTTCTAAACCAACTGTCTACAACTTGCATAGTTAGCCTACTGAAACAACAGAAGCAAGGACTAAAGATCTTATTACTAGGTTTCTAAAATATCTACTTTCATTATCTTTATGCTAAAGTGGCCTCTACAATCATGTTCAAGTGTCTGCTCACTCTGGAGAACCGAGGCGAGTTCCTCTGCAAAGCCATCCCGACTATATTCGAAAATCCCACACGAGGATGGGTGCTGATACATCAGAGCTCAGCCTGCCCATGCTCCAGTCCTGCAGACACACACCGTCACCAATTCGGGATGCTCACAGCCATACTGGCAAGACATTGTGCCTACACCAAGAAATGCTGCTGTGCACCAGCTGGAAGCTAGTTAAACTAACCTATTTCAAATTACAGCTGCAAGCATTCAAAAATATTATTAAGCTTGCATTATCTATTTCTACATCTAAGTAAGTGATAAAAAAAATCAGGCACACTAATAACATTTACATAGATCCTGTGAAAAACATCTTAAAAACAGAACCCTTCAGATTTCTAATATTGTTTAAAAATACTAGTTTTCTACTACATTTGGGGAAAAAAGTTTGTAGTCCTTTATTGGCCATAAAGTATTTTCCCCATTCTCAGCTGCCATGTCAGCATATTTTTACAATTTAGAAGTTACATGGAATTGTGGAAAAACTTAGCCCAAACTATACATGTCTGAAATACTTTTTAAACGTGTAATACAGGTTTGCCCTTTACACCTAAATTTCATGCAATTTTTAGATAGCAAGACAACTGTTTTCAACATAAAAGTAGTAACCATTACAAAATTTTGTTTCTGAAACTGTCTAGAACACAGCTCAATATGCTGTGAGGTATACCTGTTGATAACCTTGAATAATAACCTCTTGATCTTCAATTTCTTTTTTTATTTGTGCTAGTTTTTCTTCAGTGACAGGAGTTGTTGCTGTATGATGGGTCCATCTCTTTTCTTGAGTCAGCTCTTCCATACTTCTTAACTTTCAGGAAGAAAAAAGACATGCTATTAATAAGAAAGTTTTGTTAACAATATGGAATTATCCACAAGACTACACTTTTATAATATAAATAAATCAGTATTTTCATTAAGATATGAAAACAGACCAATGAGCCAATCTTATTATTGTTTTTTTACAGAAGCATTACAAAACAGGTACAAGTTATAAAAAGTTTGGGAAAAGTTAACAAAGTTTTAACCTCCCTCTTCTGTTCCTATGTATCTAAACAGGAGGGTATAGTGGAATAACCCCAGGAATATGCTCATAGACAGAACACAGCATTGAAAAATGCATCAACCCCGCCCCCCAGCCCAATATCTCAACATATAGTACTTATCTATAACAAGTGGTACCTCTTCATCTCTTACTCATTTTTTTCTAACCTAAGAGTGAGTTAAATCTTTGCAAAAAAACCTGCCACAGGACTCTCAAAATAACAAACTAAAGGAATCAGGATGACATAGTTTATCTCTGTAAAAAAAAAAAAATCATGTCTTATGGGCAATAAATGTAACAGCGGGTACGCACTTACAAACTAGCAGTGTGTGTGTAAATCTGGATTTTCTGCTCATTAACAATTCATGTAAAATAATTTAATTTTCAGAAGCAATGTTTCATCTGTTCTGTAGCAATGGGATACAAGATGATAAAGTACCTTACTCTGAAGTACATAGTTTTCCTGACCCAACTGAGAAAGCTCTTTTTCATGCTGTGTTTTCAATTCTACTATCTTTGTCTCTATTTCTTTCTCTTTTTCTGAAACCGTGCTGGTTAGCTGTTGAATCAAATCACGAGCTGAGTTCAGGTCATCCTCTGCAACTTGTAATCGTTTTAGCAGATATAGTTCCCTATCACAACTTTTGATAGGAGAAAATGATAAATCCTAGCGAAGAGAAAAATGCAGGGAAACATTATACTGACTGGACTGTTTATCAAAATTTCTGCTTATCAATTTTATTTAACTGGCTTGTCTGGCTTTCAGCAACCATATAATGCACTTGACAAGAAAAAAACCCCCAACATTCTAACAGCAAAACATCCTGCATTTACTTTAATGAGCTACTTTCTCATTTCCAAAATATGTATGAGGAAAACAAGCCAAAAACCAACAAGAAGCAAACACCTCTCATATGAGAGCCACTACACAGCTACCAGAATTATTCTATTATGAATCTTTTTGAAAAGCAGTAATGATTTAGGTATTCAATGAATAATTTTTTATACATTTGATAAGGAAGAAGTAAAATCCGTCATAGTACTACAAATTTAGTCATCTTGGAACAGTCAGAAGATGTTAAATATTCAGTTTAATTCAAAAATTAAATATTCGATGCAATGCAAACAGAAAAAAAACCCCAAACAGTAGCACTATTTAACATTCATAACAGAATACTTTTACTTAAAAGTTTTATTTAAAATTTTCCCCTTTTGTACCACAAAATAGTATTTTTTAGAAATTAATAAGCGTTCCAACTTTAAGTATACAGAACCATCCAAGCAATAGAATTATCCAAGCAACTGAAAAGCAGTATGATTAAAACTTGCATATTTTAAAAGCAAAATCTGACTAAAGGAAAGTCTTTATTCAATATTTCAGGATTTGCCAATTTTATGATAACTATTAAAAGTCTTGATAAAAAAGGCTTGCAAGCCAATTTGTACATACTATAATTAGGAGCATCATTGATTATTACTTACATGCTGATACTGCCTGCAATAATCCACAGCCTGGTGTCCAAGATTATTAACAACTGATTGGTGAGGCATAACTCTGTTAATACTCTCCTTCAAAGTTGGTTCATTTGTTGCAGATCTTATTATCCTAGTAGCAAACAAGGCTTCTTCATTTAGGCAGGAAGTAAAACAGAGCAAAATTAAATTCAGAATTTAATGTCCTTTAAAAAAAATATATCTATTCACATGATCCACCCCTTAGGTGTATAAATTAAATACAACCTGAATTTTGAATTAAATATATAAACTCGAGAGCAATGAGACATTATGTAAAATCATTATGTAAAATGTTTAATTTTTTTTTTTTCAAGTAAGGAACTGATGACAAGAAAATACAAAACCCAAGGGAACAACTGAAACAAGTAGCTGGGTAACTTCAGTTCTCTGCTCAAGAAGTGGCCAGTTACCTAAGTATACAGAAACAACATATTTCAAGCTATGGTGAAGACACAGCAATTTTCAAAATGGTCTTTGGAGTGCAGACAGCATACAAACACATGCAACATTTATTTGTTGCATCAAGTAGCAACCTGCCTGACAATTAAAAATGAGGGAAGTTCCCCCTAGAGAGTAACTACCATACATGGAACTATTCACATCCTAGTCTTCTGAAATACAGACAGTACCTACAACTGCCGTTTAATTTCTGCCTATAGCAATTTAAGATAAGAGCTCCTGCTTAGGAATGTTATACCTGAAAACAAGCCAGCAATGATCACTGTCCAATTTTAAGACTTTTCACATTTCTCACACTGTCCCCTCGCAAAGGTGCTCCCTTGGCACTAACGATTAGGATACTGTTTGATTCAATGCCATTCTCTTCCTAGCTTTAGAGGTCCCTGCAGAATACCTCCCAGTGAGATTAACTTCTGAAATCACCTGAAATTGCTATGGAGAATGGTTACAGCTAGGGAGGGAAGAACGTGTTTGAATGAGGCTGGTGGCCTCATTTTCCCTGGACTCGCCATTCACTTCACCACCTCTATCTGGCTGTACACCCTCCTCTTCTCCCGGGAGTGCTACAGCGAGGCACTGAGGAGCTAAGGGCCCTTAGTTTGACAGCTGCCACTGAAGCATCTCCCTAAGATGGGCAATGTAATCCTAAACTGCTTTTCCCAACACTACCTGCAGGGTTTTTAAAAGCATTATATGCTAGAAGTGTGCTAAAACCTGGGCATCCAGTTATTATATAAAAAAACTAGTTATTTTCCAATGCCTCAGAGATAGCAAACATTGTCTGCAAAGACACTAAGATGAATTATCTCATGAAACTCCTCAGGCTTCACCTCAAAACAAGTAAGTCCAGTCCTTTACTTGTAACTCAGTTTTCACAGGACTGCATTGGTATTCCCCTTCCCTTAGTGCTACAAGAAACATGAACAGAACATATGTCCTTTTTAGTGCTTTCTTTGTACTCTAGGAAAGCAAAGATAAAAAGAAGCTGAGAACAGAAATTTGGCATCACACAAAGAAGTCAGTGGGCCAGCAAATCTTTGCATTTACTGTAATGAAAAACGTAACTTGTAGATATTCACTTTTGAACACCAGCTTCTTCTCCTGTTTGGTCCTACTGGTGAACAACAGATAAGCCTCAAACAGTGGTGGTATATGTGAGTGGAAATGAAACAAAACTACACTGCAAACCTTTATTTAAGTCTCTCTTCCAGCAACTTCATGCTTATACAATTAAGTAGTGAATTTTTTCTGTATTTGGGTTTAGATTTTTTCTACAACATTTTGAAATAATTTTTTTTTTCTTCTTTTTAATGTGAAGCATGAAGAGCAAAGCTCTCTGGCTCTTAAAACTCAGACCTCTTATGACAGAATTACCTTTAGGTCTTGCTCTATCTGCAGATTTTTTGGCTTTCACACTGGTCTTTTTGAAAGCTTCTTTTGGCATTTTCTTTTCACTAACTGGGAAAGACTGTTTTGACAGTGAAGTGGGTTTCCCATACCCAGAACTTTTAACCACTCCGTGAGGACTATATGAAGATTTCTTTTTATGTAAAGGTGCTGGACTTCTGATATTCTTGTATAACGTTGGTTTAGTTGTCATTGATTCTGATCTTTCATTCTTCAAGGAACAAGACTGAAGAGCCTGTGATAGAACACATTTGTTTAAAACAAGTTTTAGGTTCTAGTACAATCTGGAGGTAGCTTTCACTACTAAAGGAACACAGAACCAGTTAACAGAATTACACCGCTGTAAGACCTGGGGTGACAGGAAGCATTATTTTAAACTAAATTAATAGTATGCCATTTTGCAGAATTTTATTCCTTCAGAAGTATACCTAGTGCAAGTACTTTGTATTGGCTCCGTTTAATTGTTCTGGGAAGCTGTATTACATTACAGGATCTTTAGCTTACCCAAGCAGGTAGCTCATGACTACAGGCTAATCACAGTGAACACAGAAACCCAGAGATGAAGAGAGGAACACTGGCAGGCAGAAGAACCCTACTAAGCTTGATGATCAAAACCAGAGCACACAACTCCTAAGACCAGCAAATGAGAAAGCTTTGTCTGCTGGCCCTGGTGGGAAATCCACCAGGATGAATCAGCCAACCAATCTCTCTCCCTGCAACACCTTGCAGGCCAAAGAGGTGATTGACTAAAGGCATGCAGGGCTAATTTAGGGGACGCAAAAAGAAGAGAATTTGGGGATGCAGGAAGAAGATCTGGGATTGTGTAAATCTTGTTATGGAATGTTTGAGGGGATTGTGAGAATATGTAAAACTTAGAGGAAGTTTAAGGAAAGGACAAAAACTAAATAAAGGGAGACGTTAAGGTGGATCAACTAGGAACAGGTGTGGGAAATAGAGAGGAAAATAAGATTAAAGCAGCTGGTACCATGACCAGGTTGCTGGTCAGTACACCTGTCTAAGCCCTACATTGATCATTGCAGTCTCTCCTGTATTCTTACTGTACGGTATTTCCACCTGTCCTCTCTGTGGGTATGCTTTCTATTCTGAGCCTGTGTGTATTTATACATGTTCCCTCAGTGGGAACACGTGCTCAGACTTGCTACTGTCTTGAGCTGTGGATATGGAACCGCAGCAGCCCTGCACGTATTGGGCTGGGACAGGAAGAATCCCGCTGGTCTCAAAGTTTACTGGATTTGGCTACCTCTAGCAATAGCAATGGTAACATGAGTTTCAAGAAAACAGCAACAGACTCTCAATTTCTAAACATCACGAGCATAACCAAGTGACAGGCAGTCTAAAAATACACATATTTTAAATGTATTTCCATATAATAAAATCTGGTTGATATTACTTACTTGTGTAGTTTTGCTGTCTTGTGAGAGCAGAGAGTCTTGTACTATTTTTTCTCTTAGTACATCAGGTTGTAATTCACCCATCTGAATTTCTTTCTCGGTCACCCTCTGAAAGCTACCATCATTCACAGCTGTCTGTAGAAAGACGCTCTCTTCTCTGTTAAATTTTTCAAGTAAGTTTGCCTCCCAAACTGTATTATTCTTGTGCTCTTTAAAGGGCGAGTGGCTGATGAGGTCATTTGCTGTGCTGCCTACCAGTTTCACAGGACTACAAGAAAAAGAAATAGTCATATATAAAATACTTTTGCCTTCTGCTTTTCTATCAGTCTGGAAAAAGTAGATCATTTTTCCTTTAGGTATCAGCTGTAAAGACTGCTTGAATTTGAAAGAGCCACTAGGCTCCTTTTAAGAACAATCTTGCAGATTTAGTTACACAGATTTACTCCCACGCTGTGGAACAAGAGCAATTTCCCAGCAGTGACTGTTTTTGTGGAGGTACCAAACTCGGCCACAAGATGAACACCTGCAAGCACGCAATTTATGCTAATAAAACAATGAATGGTAATTCCTGCTGGGTGCAGCTACACAATAGGCTCCCAAAACTCATTTGCTAAGCTTAACCTATTTCGGACAGTTCCGGGGCCTGTTCTTTCTGCTCTAGACATAACAGCTGGAGGAAACCAGAAGGAGGTATGGAACACAGGTCAGTAAGAATTATGAGAGTAAGCAGAAAAACAGGATTTGATCTTAGATTATGGAGGTTGGAGAGCTAGCATAGGATGTGGGCTGAAATCCACGTATGCAGGAGGGGAAAGAGAAGACTAGGAAAGCAGAGATCGTAGCTGTGGTAGCTGTGAGAGTGAGGAACACTCCTCCAAATGATTTGGCAAATGTTGCTGCTTATCACTCAAGCGAAGTTTGGGAATCCCTGGTCTAAACCAATTAAACCTGTATATTCATTTTACAATTCACTGCAAATGCCATAATGCCAGTGTCAAGACATAATGAAATTTCAGTATTTAATCAGGGAAAAAGACAGATGAGTTATTTAGTAAGCTGATTTTCACAAATAGTTAATGGACTTATTACAATTCTTACAATGCATTCTGAAATACCTTTCAGGCTCCACTTCAAAATTTCTGATATTATATGAATGTCCTCTAATTGGTTTCATCAATTCTTCCACAGTAGGTAAATCTAATCAGTGCAAAAAAATAAATTAAAAAATAAAACCCAAAATGTAGAAAAAGTATTGTAAAAAGGACAAGATTTATAAATGTTTCATAAATGCAGTATTAAAAGATGTTACCAGTTCACTCATTTTACATGCTTGTAAAACACATGCCTACCTTTGAGGTATTTACCTGATTCAATAGTTGACATGTTTTTTGAACAGATGTCATTATTTTGTGAACCCCCTTGCACTAAGCATTCTGAGACTGCCATTGCAGAATCGTGCAGTTTTTGCTCATCAGTGTCTCCCAAAGACTGATCAATATGATGGTATGCTTGATGTAATGCTTCCATGTCACTGGTGGTTTGTCCATGGGAAGTCCCTGTGAAAAATGCAGGCTCATAAGAGACACTACAAGGTTTTCTGTTTTGGGAAACATCTCACTGGAGCCTGTATTTCAGTTACTGGCTTGGTCTATTACGCAGTGAGAACAGTGATTTCAGTTATGAAAAAAATATTTCAAAATTTCATTTTTACTATAAACAGTTGCCAAGTTAATTAGTACATGCTAAACAGCCTCATCCACAGTTTTCATGCCTCTCTCCCCACCTCAATATTTTATCAGTACTAAAACTAACAGTATGACATAACTACTTTAACAGATGCCATCAGAGCCATACTCCGGATGTCAGTGGTATACACTGTTTGTACAAAGTTTAATGAGAGAATGTATTTCATAATTCTGTTCAATGCAGTCAAAGAAGAATTTTAACAATGATGAATAACGGAGATGGTATTTATAAATCAAACCACAATGTCAAAAGCAACTTTACAATAACCCAGTGTAAAAAGGTCTTTTTAGCAGAAACATGATTTTTTTCCTGAAATATTTCCTCATCCTTTCAAGATTTGTTACTAAAAGCCAAGGCCTTCATGTTTACTGACAACCTAAGAACAAATGAAGATATCAGAGCCACCTATTCTACTAAAATAATATTTTGGGGGTTGAGTTTTGCTGTGTGTTTGGCTGTTGTTTTTTTTAAAGCAACCCTTACCTTCTTCATTCATTTCAATTCCACTGACTTCTTCAGGCAGATAACGTTCATCTAGAGCTACATCTGATGCTTCAACAGCCGTTTGAAGCTCTGTAGTTGAATCTTGTGAATCAAGTAATACAACTAAAACCAAGATGATGTTAAAGAAAACACAATTCTCTTAATTATACTGTCTACACGGGAATTAGAAGTATACCAAAGCTTATCTTGATGTACTAAGCATGCAAAAAATGCTATACAGATTATTCTAATGCCAGTAGTGGTAAACTGATTAACTCTGATTGCAAGCATCAAAATCTGAGTACTGACTAGATGCAGGAAAATAAAAAATTACACTGATGATCACTCTGAAGTGCTAACATGCAGACTAACTTTTAACCATTTCAGACCAACAGACTTCCAGTAGAACACAATAAAATCAGGTGAAAAATATCAAAATAGTAAAAATCAGATAAGAAAATTGCAAAAAGTTACAATTTGTATTCTCCTACTGATCAAAACTTATGTTTTACCTTTAGCCAGCATGCCAGTGTTTGCTACTTCCTAACAAAAAGAAAGAAACAAAATATTACTGTTCAAATTTCAGGGGGAAAAATAGAACCTTTAAAAGTCAGTCCAAAACCAATAACTGTTCTTAGAACTTAGAAATAAGCAGTTCTTGGTGCTCCAAGAATATGCACTTCTCTAAAACTCTCCTTAGGATGCCAAAAGATCCTCAACATCCTGTACTCACAAGTGACCGGGAACTAAGCGCTGCTTCACATAAAGGGAATAATATTTTTGCACCTCCCTGGTTCTCTTATATTGTAATTTGAGAAAAGAAAATAATGTAGCAGTAAGTACATTACACTTCTGTTCTACTTGTTCTTTACAAACATTTATTAGAAATATTACCCTAATAAACTTACTTAAAAATAATTTTTAAAAAGCCATTTATCTATTCTGGATGAACACGTGGCGCTCTATAGACTCCTTTCATACAAAAACAAATCAGAACATGTGTGCCAGACACATATGCTCCGTATCAAAAGGCCTAACTAAGCTAGTCAACAGTAATACCCCCAAAAGCTCATAGAGCATAGATTTTGGGTCCTCTGTCCAAACTGCTTCTCTGTACAGAACTACTTCCCTCACTCTGCGTCACTTGGTGCAGACACCACTATAATAGCTCCAAGAGAGAGATTAATCACTACCTATTCTGAGGCAGAGGCTCCAACCTAAGATCATCATTTGTGCATGCCCACCCACAGTTGTTAATTCAAAGAAGGAGTAAGAAGGAAACCCTGTGAAGAACTTAATCCTTTCAGTAATTTATCACAGGAAAGTGTATATCCTTAATAGAACAATATAGTCCCAGGACCACTATATTCTTTTCTTTCAGAGAGTAGCTACTATATAAAGTTTTACTATATTTACAGTTATACATTGCAGAGTTCTTACAATTCATGCAAGTAATATAAACATTTGGTAAGTTAAACTTGTTCCTGGGGACTTAAATCAACTCCTGACATGATATTCTGACTCACCTGACTTCCCTCAGTTTTAAAAGCAGGATTAGCATCTGTTTCTTCTTCAAAATCTTCACTGTAGCTGCCTGAAGAGCAAAATAAACGTCAAACAGAATGAATATTCAAAAAAGATAAAACAGTAAGCGAAAGCTACTTCCTTTTCTCCAATCTCTCATCTAAGAACAGCTACTACCACTATTACTCTTTTCACAGAGGCAACAGAAAGGTTTTGAGACTGGGTGTGGTACTAAAACTACAGTAAAAGTCACACATAGTATCTCTAAATCCAAAGGAAGTTTGTTTTATGATCAGATATACTTTGCCTCCCTCTCCTCAAGGCATACTTGAATTGATGCCTTTCATCCAGTCACTTTCTCTCACTTAGGGGTGAAATGATGCAATTGCCCCCCTAGCAGACAAAAGCACTCCGTACATCCACCTTGATAACTTCAGCAATTTTAAGGCTCAGAATCTGTAATTCTGCCTCCTCTGACCTGCTTTGGTGGCCTGACAGCCACTCTCAAGAGTAAGCATTATTTAAAAACACAAGTGTGTCAGAGAATGAATTTTACAAGCAAGCTAAATGCTTTTCCTTCAGTTACCTAGATCCTTCCACAAGTTCTGATTCCCTGTTGCTCTATCTCCCCCACTCAGCTCCTGTGGCTACGGGCTTCAGTATCTGCATTACCTGCAATGCTTGAATCTAGAAGCTCTGCAAAACACTGGGTTATAATGTGTTCTTTCTGTGTTTTGTTACCAATACCACTGACACACAGTCTAACACACTCATACATAAAAACAACTCTATGAAAAGTCACTGTTTCAGCATTCTCTTTGGTTTTGAACCATGAGAAGTCTGATTAGTTGAAAATAGCTTTCTCATACTGACTTAAGACACACAGAGTGCTTATACTATTCCTGCAAACATATTATCCACTACTACATTAACTTTTTAATGAAATAGCAGTTTGATGAAGACTAAACCAAACCACGCACAACACACAGATTAGTCCTTCCAGGTATTCCATAGAAACTGTTTTCTTAAAAATCAGAAGTTTCAGTTTCCTAAAACTGACCGCAACAATTAGGTAATTTCAACCTCTGTTAAGAAAAGGCAACAAAACTGCTGTAGCATTTCTGCTACAACAATCATGATCTGTTGCCATCTACAGAGTAATCAAGCTTTCAAAGAGAAAAGATTTCCTGTGATTAAAGTTTACAAATACACACTCTTTATGTCTGGGAAATTCAGGCCTGACAACAGGACCTCCTAGAAGTTCAGCTAAATATGCATAAATTTAAAAATACAATCTGTTGATTAAATTACAGGAATACACTGTTTATCATATGCTAGCAATGAAGAGTGAAATAGAGATGACAAGTGAAAGACAAATAAGCAAGATGGAAGGAGCTTAGCATGGAAATTTTGGGAAAAATATCAGCTACGATTAATACTGCCGATTACAGAGATTAAACTCAGACATGAAAAGATGGTACAAAAATACAGATGACAGTCAAATCACTGGAGTAATTTGAACATTAAGACATATATCAACATCTGGGTCATTTTGTTTCATTTCTTGATTCATAGTTGGTTGGTGTTTTTTTCTTTTCTGTTTGTCTTTTAGGTCACAATAGATTAAAAATCAAAAAACAAAAACGCAAAACTGAAAGCAAATGCCTAAACTCCTCTGTCTGAACAACAGCTGCACAGTCATAATGCAAAGGCAGCCTAAAAGGCTGATGTGGGAACTACAGATAAATGTAAACCATTAATATGAAAATTACATTATCTTTCAGATAAAGAAAAGCTTTACCCACAATGGTCAGAGTAATATGGGAACATAAGTCAATTGGTTTACATATTACTCAGAACAAAAAAGTTCAGGGAGGATGCTGGAGTGTCCTGTGAATCAGAAACTGAGTAAGAGTCAAGTTTTATGACTAGGTCCAAAGGCAACACAAAGTACAGCAAAATCTATGAGACTGCAAGTATAGTTTCCTCTTTCTAGACCTTAAAATTACATCCCACTAGAAACGTGAAGATCCTACACTATCCTCTGACACCCTGCTGTGATGTTTTCTGAAGACTTTGAATTTCAACTGAAGCACTAATCCACAGCTTTCATTTCTGTTATTCCATTTAATGAGGTTCTCAATTCTTACTAAACACACAGCACTTAAAAAAACAAAGCAAAAGATAAGGTAGGAATTTTGAAATGATTTAGGAAGATGGCATTACCAGATTTCTCTTCATGTGCAGATTCTTCTTCTTTTTCATTTTTTTCATTTCTGAGAAACAAAATGAAAAATTTACTTTCTTCTTGGACAGCAAATAAGCATGCTTTTTTGTCCTAACTCCAAATTTTGATTCTTCTCACAATTAGCAATAAAATGAATTTGTCCATTGTATCAAAACATAAGTAAGAAAGGCAGATAAATGTCAGCAATTATTAAAATAAATATTTAAGCTTCTACAACTGTCCATATTTAAAATTCTCAATCTAGCTCTTAAAAATCAGTCCCTTTATGCATTCTCTCCAACATTTGCACTAGCTTCTCAAAGAAATTTTTTTCATCAGGTTTGCTTCCTGTTCTGACCTTCTCATTCTGCATTAGCAAGTAAAAAGAACTCCCTTCTTTCCCCTTTAAGGTTAAAGTTTTGTCCATACCTGAAACTCTCCAGAATTCTGACCCTCCAACTATTTTCATACTGTAAGTTTCTTTTGCAGGCAGCATTTTTAGCAACAGCAGCCTGAATTGCCCCTTGATCCATTTCTCTCACATATGTTTGAACCTACTTTTCATATAACTGATTATAAATGGATTGCAGTAGTCTATGAAGATTTTGATCTTTCCCCCAAATTCATTTGTAACATCTTGTCTAAGGGGACACAGAATCTTTTCTGATCTACTTCCCTGTTATTATTAGTTGCTGACTCTTCATTTAGTTGCACTTTACAATTAAGAATGTTAATTCACCTTGTTACTACAGAGTTGTGCACATGACTGTGTAGCTATGTCCACTCATCACCAAGTCATGCTCTCAGCTTACTCTTTTTTTTTTTTTTTTTATTTATTAAGCTCATTTCTATTCTTGTCTTCTAAAAAAACCAAACCACAACAAATATACAACAAACTGATTGAAATCATACCCACAAAATCTCAGTGGCCATACCCAAGTCACATGTGCCTACTAATACAGTCCACAACTTTTCTTCCCTCTAAATTACCGTACAAATGGTGCTAATATGACAGAATCATTGGAATCCAGCTCTTTATTTAATCTTGAATAATCAATGGTAGAGGAAGCTTCTCGTTCAAGTTTGGCAAAGAAGATCTCTTTTTCTTCTTGTTCTTCCAAGGTATCCAATCCAACTCCCATGATACTGTGATTAGGCCCAGAAGCTAAAACTAAATCTAAATTTCAAAACAAAGAATAAACTGTCTGTGCTGTATTGCCACAAAGAATAGTCATAATAGTTAACAACAACTATAGACAGACTCATAAAATATTAACAGTATCAAATCATCACAAACAAGTACTAGGAGCCTTCAGTTTTTGAGATGCAGCTGACAGAAGTGAAGAATCCCAGTTTGCAATGAATTAAGGTAAACTGCTTGTAATAGCAATTTATTTAGATCTAGCTAACTTCATGAAATGGTTGCGCTCTCAGTTCTCACCATTTGTCTCTAGGCTGTCTCTACTTAAAGACACAGCAGCCCCGTTACTTTTCTGAAGCTGCATCTTTTCCACATGCATATTCTCATAACTTTCTCCCATAGGCTGTGAAGTGTTCTGTATCTTGACAAAGCTTCCACTGGCTCCAAGCAGTCCTAGGAAAAAAGTTGCAATATTATTGACTATTCTCTAAAAGCTATTTGTATGACGCTTCAGTCTTTTAGTCATCTTGTAGCACCACCAACTTTAATCTGCTGTTGCAACTGCAAAGATACAGTCTCACACATTACATTAATCTAACTTCCATTTCTATTATGAGATACGTAAATCTTGTTTAATTAGAGTTAATTAGGCTATTATATACATTGTCTTCCTATCCTTCATATTTGCACACAAGCCTAAAGTTCAGCATGGGGCAAATACAACAACTGTAAAAACTGTCTTACTGTAGTGTTATTCATGGAAGACAATCACACACGCAAACCCTAGATAGAAATTAACATTTCTTTGTTAAAAGCCTGTTCATTTTGTTTGATCTACTAACCCAGAGAAAGCACCACAGATTTTTGGAAATTGTAGCCATTGGCTTAGCAGCTACATTTATTTCATTTGTTGCAAATTAAATGCTTTAAGGAAAAAAATAGTAACCAAAGTTACTTAAAGATCACTGATGAACACCCAGTTCTTCCATCGGTATGTTTATGCAACTACAACATGCAGTTGCTCTCCTTACTGTAATTTCATTGTTGTGAGAGCCTTACCAACTTTATGTGTGAATTCTCCTCTCAGACAGAACGCTGCCTTATCTACTTCCTTATGGAAAACTAGAAGCCAAATATTGCAGTACATTACTAGTTAAAAAGCAGTACCAGGTCCCTTCTGCCTGCCCTTAGCACACACACATATATTTATATTTAGATTCTTGAGGTTCTCTTAGGAAAAGGGCTAAGAGAAAAGCTGCTTATGCATTTTATCCAATGACATGAAATGATTTAACAGTTCTCCCAGAAGGGAATAAAAATCATGTCCATCTTTTCCAACATGAATGTCCAGATGGTAAAATAAACTCAGAATTTTTTGTTCTGCCTGGCCAAATGACTGTAGCTGTGTCCTTGTACTGAACATACCGGAGGGGTGTGAAGACACTGACAGCAGCTCATTTCCTGCAGGAGATGTGTATAACAATAACCCTTCACATTAAGAACATTGAACCAGTCTTCCACATGCTGATCAAGTGCCTCGGCTGTTACTCTGTCCCCTACAAAGGTCCAACCAAGTCCCTTTTAAGAAATGCCATACTTGCCTACATCATGACAATGGAGAAACCTCTCCCTTCAGTACTGAAAACATACCCAGGGTGAGGCAGGGTGGGGAAAGTAAGTCTGAACACCTTTTCCTTCCATACTGGGCAGCCCTTAGCACAAGCATTCTGATTATAAAAGCTTTCCTGTTAAGAAGCAGAACAGTTTTGGTTTTGCTTTGGGTTTTTTTTTTTTTTGTTTGTTTGGGTTTTCTTCTTAATTTCAATTACAAAGTCCCACTGTACATTTTTGGGGGGAGGCTAAATGCATAAGATGCTACATCTTGAGAATGACTTCCCCATTCCTGTATCTAACTTCAGCTCCATTCTTGACACAGAGCTCTGACTGAGGTGGCCTGCATGCAACAAATAAATGTCAGACATTGACTAAAGGTCAAGCTCCACTTACCTGTATACAAAGTTAATGTCTAAATAAATACATTTTGCTACTACATTGAAAAGCGTAAAATGTAAAACTCCAAGTGCTGAACAGAAGTGAAAAAGTATGAACAGTTCATTTCTCTGGTAGCTAAATGCAATAATTTGAAGTAATTTACCCAGATAGCTCTCTATTCTAGTTATCAAAACAGCAAAAAGGAGTCTGTTTGCAGCTGGATCACAAGTTTTTTGCAGAGCTTTAGATTAACAATAACCTCAGCACACCTCCAACACCCTATTTCTTCAATGAGAGTATGTTAGCTGAATCAAAGCTAAACTGTCACTCTCCTCCTATGTAAGATTTACAAGAAAGGAGAAGGTAACACACTTCAATAAAAAGACAACCAGAACATTTACCAGAACAAAATTTTAGAGAAAAATATTTTCCCCAAGTTGTTTTATTTAAATCATCTCAAACTCAATGAACTTTCTGAACACACTTACATTGACCTTGAAGGCTTCATGGGATTTATGTAAACTCTCTAGTATTTTTGAAGTATTTTGCCAGTTCAAACCAGAACAGAGCTTTTTAAAAAAAGCACCTCGCGCAATAATCTGAAAATCAAATTGAGCTTTGCAACTCAACCACTTACAATTCCCAGACACACTCCCCTGAGTACAGGGAATACTGCTAATGAAGCCAAGAATGTCTTTTTTACTTGCCCTAAACTTTTACTTGCCCTTGTGAGAAACCTATCAAACTTGGAAAAAATATCAACATGGATGGATTTCAAAGTCTCTTTTCACTTTGTTTTTTGGGTCTTTGAATAGTCCTACTGATTTCTGTGGGGCTTGTGAGCATGATTTATTTTTTGGGGTATTTGTTACTTTTCGTAAAAACTTCTTGAAGCTGCAGTTTTCTTGAACTCCAAAGATTTCAGTACTCATATCTTCACATGCAATATTTTGTAAAGCTAATGATATACAGTATTATTTTTTAAAGTCCTGCCACTTGCAATTAATTAAAATAAGAACCTCAGTTTTGCTTAGAAAAGTATTTCTAATGACCACACTTGCAGAGAAGAGTTTAAAAACATAAATACACAGGACTCAAACCTACAGACAACGACAAACTTGTATTTAAAAAGTAACTTCTTTTCTCCTTAATCTGACCAGGACTGTCAGAACTGAGCCACTTTACCTTTTCAATATCACATAAAATACAATAAATTTGTTACCCTCAGAATTGTCTGGACTGTCAGAAGTGAGGCTTCCTTCTTCTTTGTTTAAGTATGAATCTTTCTTGTCCTTATGAAATTTTTCCAGCTTTCTGAATTTAGACAAAGCCTTGCTGTGAGATGCACTGGAAGAAGGTTTAGGGGGAACTACTTTTAAGCGTACACAAACATTTATAAGTTTTTATACATAATGGACAGGGAATAAAGAGAAAAACAAGACGTAAGGAAAATTCAAAATCACACTTCTGAAAAAATAATGCAGTTCAGTTCCTTGTATATTGAATTATCTAAAATTTTCTAGCCATAACTAAGAATTAAATTTAATACTTGTAACTTCTGAGAATAAAACTTTTTTCCCCTCTTTTTCTTAATCTTTAAAATAGGGAAATTCCTTCTTGCTCCATATATACCTTGCATTCAAATACACCATTCTAGGAGCTCAATATATTACCTGAAAACAAAAAAAACTAGTATAACTACTTCAATAATAAAAGAAGTTTTGTACTACAAGTTTTGAAAGAAAGCATCTAGATCGCTTCAAAGTGGAAAAACATAGGTACATAAATGTGAATCACTACTGCCTTTATCACTGTCAGGTACAAGATCTGAATGTTGTTTTCTCAAACCCTTGTGAGGACGTGTTTAGCAGCAAATACAACCAAATACCTTCCATTCACATTAGTAGAATTAAGTTTTAGATACCAGTAGCTACGCTGAAAACTGTGCTCTCTCATGCTACTTAGATGATAGTCACGCTGCACACTTTATATACCTTAGGCTAGCCAGACACGCTGTATTAGACTTTTCCTTGTTCAAATTGTCAAGGTGGAGGGGGCTTCTAAATTGGCTAATTTAGAGAAAACTCTGTTACAGGTCTTTTGCATTTACCTTGACACAAGAGAGCACAACACTAGTCTAGAGAATCGGGTCAAATCCTTCTGCTATTTAGAGACAGGACTACGGAGATATGTGACCAGAAGCTAACACAACTCCGAAATGTCTAAGATGACTAAAGGAAGCTGGTGAGCATAGGGCAGGTGCAGTGCAAAAAGAGAAACAGCATGAAATCCATTCTGATACAATGCATGGGTCCTTTATCCCCTCGACTGATGTCCAAGTTCTCTAATGAGGCATCACTTCTCTAGATCTATATTCTCCCATGTGTACTGGGAAACTAAAAGTGCTGACAGCATGCCTTCCATTGTAAATAATGCAAACACCTGATGCCTTTTAAATCAGTAATTTGAAATAACTACCAAAGTCCTCCTATTGCTCACATTTCAAGTATTATGTTAATTCAAGAAATAGATTCAGTTTTAGTGTTTATCTTCCAGACCGAGATGCTTTATAGCTATTCTATTCAAATGAGGCTTATGAAAACAGGGCAGATTATACTCTCCAGAAATCTAACATAGGGAAATGTTCTACTGGCTACATAGTAGATCACCAACATAATCTAAGGACCAAGTGCCACATACTTCTTTGTTATGGCTCTCCAAAATATTTTTAACCTGCTTGATTTAGACCAACGTCACATTTAAATGAGTACTCACAAATTAACTGCTATTGTCATTTACACAAAAGTATTTCATGGATCAATGTTTATAAATCTTAATTATTCTTTAGAGTTTCTCTTCAGATAGTATAAAAAGTGACTACAATAATCCTGAAGATTAAACAATTTAGTTTGTCATTATTATACCAACTGTACTGTTTACATTCCAGGGGCAGCATGCACAGAGCAGCCTACTGGTCAGCAGAGGGGAAGGAAAAAAAAAAAAAAAAAAAAAAAAAAAAAATCACATCAATAGAAAATAAGTAGAAAACTTATCTGACTGCAGTCTTTGAAATTAAACAAGTAGAACAGTGAATATTAATATTTCTTGAGTATGAAATACAGAAAGTGCAAGAGATTTTCTGTTTACTAACCATACTGACTTTTGGTTAGATTTTCCAAGTTATTTCCCATGCCTCCATTGGCTTACATTCAATACTGACTGTGCTATAGGTAGTGATGTATGATGTCACTATAGCTAGTGATGTATGACGTAGCAACAATTGAGCAAAAGTCCACTCAGTTATTAGTTTCTTCTAGAAATGACAAATTAAGTAAGTGGCAGCTGGCTTTCAGTGAGAACACTATGGTCAAATGGACAATTTGCAAAGGATTTTTTATAGGAAATGCACTAGTAATACAAAGCTGATACAGAATAAATAAAACATATTTAATCAAATACCAGACTGAGAATCTGAATGGGGACTCTTTTGTTCACTGTTTTCCACTATTTCAACATGGCTTTCCATCAGTTTCTTCTCTTTTCTCAGCTTTATAAATCTTGTTTGAAAATCTTGAGAAGTAAGACAAACAGCAAGAACAGACAGGCAAGCAAGACAGGACAGGAATTCTTATTATCCAATTTCTTTTTATCATTTAAATGACAAAAGCAAGTAGGAAGGACATTAGTTAGAGGTAGGTCTTTAACCGATCAAATATGGAAGACAGTATCTTGCATCACAATTTGCACATTTCAGTTTAAAGCTGAAGAACAGAGAGTTCAAACGTGCCTAGAATACCAAATTGAGTTATTTAAAATGTACTTTATACCTCTCAGCCAAATGAACAGAAATGGTCTATGCTGTTTACCATTAATCTATAAAACCAAGTGAAAATAGGCTATTAGTTTAAATCTCTACCTGGCACTTCTGTAACAAGATGCCTTGGAACAAAACAATCAGACAACAAATAAATGCACAGCATATATTTAGTCTTCCAGCCATCTCTCTTTGTGTCTTTCAAGAAAGCATGATATAGATACTGAAGTAACTAAAATTGAAAACCTCAAACTGGAAACAACTTATCAACTTGGTGCATTACTCAAGCTAATTAGCCAGACTCTGTATTTTATTAATATAACAATATCTCTATATAGTGCATCCCAAACATATCAATCCTTACATATGGAGCATGTATTTGTAATTCAGTGCTGCACTGTGGGTGAAAGTAAGACTTATATATTCACATAAATTTAATTTATGATGAAAAAACACTTTAAAAATAATTGTATTAGCTGACAGTCTGTTAATAAAGTCCTGTCTGCAATCAAGTGGAGGTTCAAGCCTGGAAGAATACACAAGGATCTCCACAAAATTTCAAAGCATGCCAACATTACACTTCTCTGAAATTAAATTCAGCTTATTTCCATATTTGTTACCATCACAGCAACATTATTATTTTTTTCCATAGGACAATTATTTTACAAAAAGCTACAAATCTAAATCATCAGCTTCCCAGTTGCCCTGTGCAGTAACTTACATTACAATGATGCTGTAACTTTATCCATTATTAATACATCTGAGCAACAGTACGCAACATACACCTCCTGAAGTATATCAGATCTCGCAAAATTGTATTTGACAAAGTACTTGGAAGAATGCAAGACAGAGACACACACAGAGGAAAAAAGGAGCAGTTCTAGAAGCCTATCCACACTGAAGTCCTTACAGCCACCTGATCTGTCATTTTAAAACACTGCAAGTATATCTACATGAACTAAAATCACAGCATAGTTTGCAGTGTGTACACACATGTATAAATCTCCCTTTATGTGTGGGATTCATCATTCTCAGTTAGAGCCACATAGAAGTTATCTACGTTTGCAACTGCAGGAGAAAACTCAGTTTATACTGAAGGTAGTCCAGCTGGCCTCTGCAGATGGATCTCTTGACTCGAAGTTAGCTGCACTACAACTAGAATTTAGTTAGAATGGCATTCATCACAGTATAGATTGCTTCTGTGCTACACAGTTCCTGATCTATCACAGTATCTGTTAATGCAACTGCTACCATTTGTGAGTGTCCAGTGTGACAAATACAGCCCTTTCCTCATGGGAAAATACAACTCGGAGCTCTGCTTCATGCCACTGAGCTATCCTCTTCTTTCCCAGACAGAACCTGGAAAGCCCTCCAGTAAAAACTTAAAGGCCTCTCTGCTTGGCAATATTAAAGTACTAGGTGGGATATGGCTTACTGCATATATCCCACAAGCACGGAATTCTATCCAGAGAGAGGTGACAGAGGTGTAGATGAAATAAAACTAATGATCTGGCTGGCAAAAATGGTGCTTGGGGAAGAACTCAGCGCACAGATCTAGCATATCTGCCCCACGTTCTTGTATTCTCAGTTTTATTATGTCCAACCACCAAGACGTGTTGGAGCTTCGACTCAGAAAGCAGTACACACAGATTACTTTCAACTCCCTCTGAAAAAATCCAGCCCCTCATCAAGAGTATGAATATGAACAGGCTAGCTTCTTTTGCAAGTAAATGGATTCCATACAGACAAAACTGAGTAGGGTCACCTGCGTGTTTTCCTTTTAAAGGAGAAGCTTTTTTTTTTTACAAAAAACCTTAAAAAGTTTACCAGAACTCTCTTTTTCTGTCAATAAACTGCAGATCAAGCACATTTCAGTTTTAATAGCTTTACCTCTAGTCAAACTACACAGCTGATAAGATATTCTTACTTTTAAAAAGTGATGGAATTGGTTTGGATGGAAACAACTTGATATAAGCACATTATTTCTTCTGATTCTGCTTTGCATTGAACTTAACTCATACAAGCACTGCTCTAAAATTTGTAATCACCCTGCCTTTTAAGAACCTATTCCAGTGAGTTTTGGTTTAAGTAGCATGAGAAACAAAGTGCTTTATGGGATGACTAAAGCATATCAGGAAAAACATGTAGGAATGCTGAACTTCTAAAGTAACCTGAAAATTTTCTTTGACAGTATGTAGAAAAATGAGGTCATACCAATCACATAATTCTCACACTTTGCCTAGAAAGAACACCTTGCCCTTCTGTTTTTTGAAAAGCTGTAAGGAAATCATAATATCTCATAAATACCTGATAGGAACTCTCATATCCATCTGAGTTTTCCAGCAATACCTTAAAAGGCCAGAGACAAATACGCAGTCCAGACAACACCTATTAAGGTTATGCCTAAATGGCACAAGTGCTGACTAAGATTTGACGATGACAACACTGACAGGATAGAGCTATGCTTCAAATCAGAGACTACCAGCAGTATCTTAACTCTGTAATAAGAAAAACAGATTTCTGAAACTTTCCCTTAAGCTCCAGTTGTAAGTTACACAAATCATGAAAATAAGAAGCCACCAATTCCTACAAGAACAAGAAGCAATGACTCTGTAGAAACTAACTACTCATAAGCTTTACTACCCAATATGGAAACAATGAAAAAATGCAAAACTTAGACGTGGAAAGCTTGCAAGCAATAATATATTTTCTTTCAGAACTATGTGACCAAATCAATACTGAACTAGCAATCATGTCATCACAGCCCTTCTCTCCCCTTGAGCCATGGTTCTTGGCAACAGAAATGCTGAGAATACTAACAGACATGTATCTTTGAATCAGTTGTTGTCGAAGAGTTCTGTGCTTCCCCAACCTATTAAAAATGTTGCAATTAGAATAAGATTACAAAAATTGGTCTTTTTCCTCTCCAGTTTTGAAAACAGAAATCTATAAAAAGCTAGTATAAGGAACAGGTCAGTTACAAAACACACCTAAAAATATTTCAGTAGAATTTATAAATTACATTTTCTAATTATCTTACTATTTATAATGTGTTTTCTCTTCATAAGTTTTAATAACTTGAAAGCGACAGGACAAAAACCTTGAACATATTCCCTTTCAAAAAAAAAAAAAAAAAACCCAAACAATTAATTTGAGTTTTATACTTTACAAACTTGTATTGTAATGTTCTAAAGCATTTGAGTGGCATTACCTTAATCTGAAACCAGGCCCATATGAAATATGAGAAAGAACTAGCCTGACCCCCTGTGGCCAAAAAATTTCAAAACTAATTTACCACCATCATCTGAATCTTCCTCAGATATCCACCACGGCACTGAATCCTTTTTCTTAGTCTCTTTTTTCCTGGGCTGTCCCAATGTCTCAAGAATGCTGGATTTTTTCTTTGAATTTCCAAGTGAATCATCTGAAAGAGACTGAGTCAATTGCATACAAGATTAAGGACAGCTTTTACATTTTCACATTGTTTAACTGTCTTTCAGCCACTGAATTCTGGACTTCTAAGTTCAGATGCCTCCCTTTATTCCCCCACTGTCTGCCTTTTTTGTATATGCATGACAAAGCTGAGTAAGAAACAATAACTATATTCATGTGGCATAATACCACATATTATAACAACCCCACTGCCAGAATTTATATATGCTAAAAGTTAGTAGAGTATATGTAGTTAAAAAAGTAGTCAAAAGCTTAGTATATATTCAAATGAAGAGCATAATCAGCAATTTTTCAATTAGTTACAACACATAAGAACCAAAATCCTGACTACATCCCTGAAGATAATGAAGTACAGCAGAAACAGTTTTGCCTTGACCTTGTTTTGTACATAAACAACTTTATTAATATTCAGAAAACAAACCTTCACAAGCAACATTCTAGCTCCCAGAAAATCAGATTTCAGAAACTGATTTTATACTTTGTGTTCATGGAAATTAATAGTAATGCCAGAGCCATTCCTACCCAACTTTGTGTATTAAGCTTTCATATGTGTTAGCCATCCATGTCAATTTTCATTGATGGCTTAAATCAATGGAGAAAAAAAAAGTCTACGTGTTTGAACAGTCTATGAATTCAACTTATTGAAGAGTAACAAAGGAAAAGACCTACAAAAACCTCATAAGACAACAGCACTTTTTTGATGTGATGCAGCTTTTTTTTTTTTTTTTAGAAAGAAACCCTAATCTCTGCTCTTTTCCTTTAATAAAGCTCTTTGTGGCTTACAGCAGCCAGTTAGCTATCCAGACACTGAACAAGAAACTATATTCATTAAGCTAGTGCACTGCCATCTTATGCGCTAGGTATTCTTTGTGCTTAAACTTTGTAAACATGGGGTTAAGGGGAGTGCCATACTTTTTATAATTACCTAATTTTTTAGCCATAATTGTTGAAACCAATTATCCTAAAGTGTCTTAAAGAACACAGCAAATAGAGTTAGCAAAAGCCATAAAGCGTAAAAACCATTCACATATGAGATGTATCATTTGGGAAAAATTCAAAAGCTTTACTTTTGTAATAGTCACAGATAATAAAATGTGATAGTATACACAGAATAGTAAAGGCAACAGGATTGTGGGTACTTAATATATAAAATACAAGAGGGTATTTCATTAAAACAAATCTCTGCAGTCCACTGTCTGATTCCAACTGCATAAAAAGGCACTACTATGAAAAGCTACCTTACTATGTATCTAATGCTTCAATTCCTATTTGCCTAACAAGAACATCCAGAAATCAAATGTCAATTATCCAAAACTATCATTTAAGAAAAAAAAATATGAGAAAATAATATTATTATGATTCTAACCAATAAGATCTTTAGAGCTTACAGTTTCACTTGAGAAAAATAAATGCCTATCATACAGTCTCAGAAAGAAAATATAAGTGCTCTGAGCTTTGCACTTTAATATAATACAATTTTAAAAAATTACGAAACTGCTAGACAACAGTATGTATTGCAATTTCTTTAAGCTGGCTCAGTGACAGAGAAGAAAACAGCTTTACATTTTTAATAAATTTCCTATAAATAACAGCTTCCTTACACTAGTCACAACAGAAGTACCAGTGCCATGTCCCCGAAGGTCAGATTGTCTCCTCCTAGCTAGAAATACCGACAGGTGCTTGATGCAAGCTCTGTTACCACTTGCTGGTTTTTTTACAATTAACAGTACCCTCTACTCTGCAAGCAGAACTTCAATGATGCTCATACTCCTTAGAGTACTGTAACTAAAGAAACTGAAACTCCCACAGGTTGTCTTCAAGTTCTGGAAACTTTCTACGTCCAGCCATCTTGTCAACTGCAGACAGTAAAGTTGCAGCAGCTGGAAAAGAAATGCTGACACAAAAATACTAGCGCATTTTTCCCAACATGTCAGTTGTCTTAACAGCAAAACTTACAGATTTTCTTTGTTAATTTAAACTTTTTGGACCAGTAATGGCTTTTCAGTGCCAGTAAGCGGCACTCATTTCTTCCTTCCCCTCCTCTATCAGCCTGTCAACTTTTCAGGAGCACAGGCACACACACACACACACACACTAATTACAAAAAGCGTCGGTTGTTTAATATCAACTTAAATAAAAGCTGAAAGAGTCAGTTATAAGAACTGGGACAACTACACGGCACATAATCAGCTTACCACCTCCTACACACATGAAGGAACTTAATAAATAAAGTAGGTAGGTAATACAGGATTGAATCTAAGACACTCAGACTTTAACAATCAGTGGTCCTAATTATTTCATGAAACAAGTCTTTTTCAAAAAAGCAAGTCTACTCCAAATTATAATTTTAGTACAAAATAGTATTTTGATATATTTGATCATTTAATAAAAATGAAAATGTTTTTTCAAAAATGATTTAATGTGTAGTGTCACTCTTCACGTACTATTCTACAGTTTTTCTAATAAAGATGGTATAGCCTTTCCTTTTGAAAATCTTCCTTCTCAGCTGTCCATGAATATCAAATACAAGAAAACTCAACCTAGAAGACTAGAAGCAGACAATGGCTTTTTCATAGCTCTGCTTTGCTTGAAGTGTCATCAAAAAGACAATTAACTGAAGCGCTGTGTGTTAGAAAGAGCTCCTCGTGTTGCACGTCCCAAGGGAACTTCATAGCCAACACTGAAAACGTAGGAGCTATAGCAATATGACGGATGATGCTTAAGGGAAATTAAAGTGACAATAGGGGAAAGCCGCTAAAGCAAGATACTGGTGGTGGGGAGTGGAAGGATCACAAGCACTCAGACAATGGAGGAGGAAGAGAAGAATCGTGGATGACAACAGGCTGTTCTGGCAAAGGGATGGGAATTAGTGTGACCAGGCAGAGGAATCATTAAAAGTCCTATCCTGCAGTAATTGCTACTATGCATCTGTGTTTCCTTCTGTATAATGGTAAAAGCCTAGAAAATCCTCTTCACTGGTAGCTTTTAAAGTTCAGTGCTTATGCCAAAAATCTTTAGTTTAATCCTCATATTAGACCTGCATTATCCAACTGTATAAGCAGTCTTTATTTTAACTTTATGTTTTAATCTCAAACATGCATATACTCACACCCTCCATAAACAAAGGCAGTTTCACTATGAAGGGAAAAACATCCTGCTCCATTTCTTCTCTGAAAGATTTGCTTAAACAATAGTAAGTCTTCCTCAAACTACCAAGAAACAGTTTTTGCTATTTCCTGCCTGCCCCCTCTCATACTGTCAACACAAACATCACCTACACAGTGATTTCAAACAATGGAGCATACCAGTTTCTCATCTTTCTAACATTAAAAAGCTGCACACTTTTTTATAAAAAACAAAAGCAAAGGGAGGGACATAATAGAAGGTACATGCATATAAAGTAACAGAGGGTAGATCATGTCATTGTTATTTGCATTGTGTTTAGCTGGCAAAACATAAACCAATGCATATTTTAATGACTGGATTTGCAGTATATGTTTTTAAGCTTTCTTAAGCATTTTACAAACAGTTTTAGTTTGAAACAATAAAACACAATTACGACATGAGGTGTTAAAAGTTACATTCTCAGGAACATGCCAAATACCATTTAGAATAATTCACTACAGCTATTTTGATTTTTTTTTCTAACTTCAGCATTCTCAATGGGGGCAATAGCTGAAGAGCAAGAAGAGCATATCAAATCAGGAACAGAATACTAGAAGCAATCATATGCAGTTTTGACAGATGCTCAAAATAAATAAAATAATAAACCTCCCTTCTCTTCAACAGAGCAACTGCCCTCATAACAATAACAGGCTCTGCATTTCTGTCAGAAGTTAATTTTCTATTTTTACTAACTAATCATTTCAGTGAATTCAAGAATGTTAACTCAATTACATCATCAAATTAGAGGCCAAAATCTACCTTTAAGTTATCTTTGAATCCTAATTTTCAGATGGCATTTTGGTTTTCTATTCTCTCAATTTAGCACTGTTCAGTGAAGCTACATTTATTCTGTATCTGTAAAAACACCTCACAAGCTGCACGGTCACAACAGTTACAGACCTACCTGGAAGAGCTAAAATCTTGAATAAGAAGCCTCTGGTTACAACAATCTTTGCTACAGTACACAGTACAAAATCCAATTTTTACAGAATCCAGCTCCTACATTTTCCACAATTAATAAAAAAAAGGCTCTACATCAAAAAAAAAAAAAAATTAAGCATACCTTGCATATAACAGAGACCCCAAGAATATTCACTGCCATCATTAGCTACACTTATATACAGTAACAGAATATAGTAAAGGCCTTATGTATGTGGTATTATATCTTAGGGTTACCACACTGTGTGTCTGACTGACCAGAGGGCAAATTCTGAAATTACAGGTCTATACACAGTGAAAAAAACCATACCAAGTTAGGGCATTTTGACCATGTCCAATAATTGTCAGCTTAAGTCATAACCCATAGACTTGCATGATTTTGCCTGCACCCAAAATCATCAAGAATCATGAGGAATAAAAGAAATCAAATTAAAACTTTCTAATCACTAGATACTTAATTTTGTTAGGATTAATATAAGAATTTTTAAACAGAAATCAGTGAAATTAGGTGTTGCACAGAAAAATAAGGAAATTCTTAAAAAGTAACTTGTGCCCACCATGCAGGAAAAGTTTTTATCTCATTTTCAATTTGAAGCTTCTGCTACTAAATAACAAACACAATTAACTTGAAACAAAGATCAATAAGCAAGGGTTCTTTCTGAAGATACAACCTAGCAGAGACAAAATATTTATTTAATCACAAAACTGTTATCTTTATTTCAATACAGCAAAATTGTATGAATTAAGTTTAGCAATGAAGTTAAGACCTTGCAAAGACCCATATATGACAGCTATGTGAATTATACGAGAAAAGAAGCACAGATGTATCTTCCAATTCATCCTCTTCCATACTCAATTTCTCCCCCGTATTTTAGTAGAGAAACCTTGCTCTGAAACATACCTCTTTCAGAAACTCTTCAAACTGCTCATCTAATTCTTCTTTTGAAAATCGATGAGCCATAATCTGCAACTGGATGTTACCTTCCAAACAACTGTGTTTAAAAGGTAAGATTTAAAATTAAGTTACTGAGAATCATTCTGAAATTAGAGGTAGCCTGGTGATTTACTGCTTTTATAGAGAGCTATAAGCAAAGAAAAAAAAAAAATCTCAAGAGATGCCAAATCTCATTCCTCCCACCCAAATCTAAACTATTTAGTGAATGAAACAATTAATGCGAACATACCTGAATTACCCAAATTCTTTATAATCAAAATACTCATTTCCAAAACAACACTTCCAGCATTTAAACTCTGAGTGATAAATATGATTCTGTACACCTTCTTTATATATTTCTTCAAAAGACAGCCCTCTTAGCTACCCACAATTAAGCACTGTGTCAATGATCAAACGAGAATCTATTGCAGTGATACTTCCCATCCACTTTAAGGGCTTTTAATTCCTTTCTATGTTTCTTCTTCAAAACTGGAGACATCTGGCATTATAAGTTTTGTTTCATCATCTCTGCTGTACTTAGGGCTCAATAAACAATAAATACATGAAAGTCTTTTAAGATTAGAGGATGACACTTGGTTTGATCTGCCCTGACACAGAAAGCCAATGGCACTTGCCCCCCTCCCAGTCCCAAAAGTCTGTGTTGACTTACCAGGTATAAAATATGCCCCACACTCAAAACGCTACAAAGCTTTTGTATACGCCACTGCTCAACACATATGGCTACCTTCAAAACTGCATATGTACAGCAGCATTAAACTACCCTAGCATCTTCCAGGCTGAGAAGTGCTATGTAAACATAAAAGGGCTAAACATTTGCAGAAATGCTTTTACCATGAAATAAAACTTCTCCCAATATGTAGCCCTCTCAGTACACAGGACTGTTACCTACCTAGTAAATTGATTTTGACAGGCGAGTTGTGACAACTGCTTCCTGCTTTCACTCCTTATTCATCCATAGACCACCCGACACTTTGGCAGCTAAAAAAAAAAAAAAAAAAAAAAAAAAAAAAAGTTATAGCAGACCGCCCAGACTTTGAATTGAATAAGATATCCTTATGTAAGCACTTGGACAGTATCTCTGAAAACATGGTAAAAACATTAAGAATATTACCTCTCACAACACACATAATCCAGTATCCTTCTATACTTTCACATCAAACACTAGATGCTAAACAATAGATGCTTTAACAGTTTCCTAGCTGTGTCAATTTCAGCAAGTGGAGAATACTTAAATCCAGCCATACCAGAAAAAAAAAACTGATTCTTCTGACATTATCTGCACTTCTGCCTACTTTATAATTACAGCTTTTATAAAAACTAACAATATAAAACTTTATTTTTCAAAAGGACAAATGTCAGACCATTTCCATAACAGAAGATCACAGGCAAACATTACCCTCAGCAAATGTATTTTACTGCCATACCTTTGGAGTTGGAGGCTCACAAATGACTTTTTACATAAAACAAAGTCACTTGCTGGGATATATGCTCTAACACAGTGCCGAAAACTGAGGTTTGGGGAAGGTATGGCTAAACCACAGGGATGAAGGGAAGCTTAAACAGCCCAACACATTTCGCGTGATCTTTTAATCAACCCAGCGCTAGGACCAGCCGTGCCCTGATCCTCCTCCGGCTCCCCCCGAAGCACCGGCAGAGCTGGCGCACGGCAGCAGTTCTGGGGCCGGCGGGCCGTGCTCCTCCCAACCCCAGCCGCGACACCGCCGCTCTCCTCCGGCCCCGTCCTCTCCCGTCCCGGGCCCAGCGAGCGCCGGCGGAAGGCTGCGACGGCCCCGGGCTGCGTGGGGGAGACGCCCGGAGACGGGCGGCCGGCAGGAGGAGGGGGAAGAGGGGCTGCCGGCGGGCCGGGCTCGGCTCCCGCCGCCCGGAGAGGGGGGGCGTCCCGGAGAGCGGCGGGGGCCGGGAAGAGAAGCGGCTCGGAGCCGAGCGCTGCGCTGCCTCGGGGCGCCGGGAGCGTACCTGGGCCGCGCCGGGCCCCTCTCGGCCATGGCCGCCTCCCTGGCTGGCGGCGCGGTTGCCTAGGAAACCCTCCCGGCCACCGTACCGCCCGCCAAAACCGAACGGCGGGGTGACGCGTCACGTGACGCCGCCAGCTCCGCCGGGCTTTCCCCCGCCGCCGCCGCCGCGCGTGGAGGACACGTGACGGGCGGGAACGGTTCCCCGGCGGCCATTACTACCGTGGCAAAGGTCGCCCCGCCGCGGGCTCGGCGTGACGTACGCGGTGACGTGAGGCGGCGGCGCCCCCTGCTGGGCGGCGGGCGGACAACGCTGGCTGAGGGCGGGGGGGGGCGGGAATGGCCGCCGCCGCTGCTGCCGCCGCTCAGCCGCTCACCGCTTTCACCATGAGAGGTCACGGCAGGATAACGCAGCGGGCCCCGGCTGCCACCCGCCGAGCCAGCGAGAGGCCTGCCCGCGCACCTGCCCCCGGCTGTCACCCGCGGGGTGTGTGTGGGGACGGGGGGGGGGGTGTCCCCCCGCGCAGGGCTCGGGGACATCCCCCGCCCCGGGGTGCCGGCGGGAGCGGACGGACGGGACGGGGCTTCGCGGGTTGTTTGTGTCGTCTGCCCTCCAGGAGCTGCGCGGGAGCCCGCGGGTGGGGCGGGGGGAACGGCGGCTGAGTTCAGTTAACTTAATTCAGTGAGCTAAATTCGGTGGCGGGGGCAGGCCGGTGCGGAGGGCCGCCACCCGTGTTCCTGTTGGCGGAGGGTGTGGGGCTCTTGCCACCTGCGGCCAAGACCTCCTCCTCAGGCTTCTGAGGGATGCGCTTCGCCAGAAGTCGTTCAGCCGACCTTCTGGAAAAGCGAGGTGGAAAGAGTTAAAAGTGCGTTACTTTCCCTAATGCAAAGGTCAAGACCAGACCATCCCTTCTTTCTCTCCCACAGAAATCCCCTTCTAAGGCTTTTCTAACGTTTCGGCCTCAGATGACGGCTGCTGTGCTTTTAATACATTTTAGCACATCTCTGGAAATGTTTAAAATATGCAGAGAAATTAATGACCCCTGTTTCCCTGACCACTGTCTCTCAAATAACCACAGAACAATTGCAGTCTGTGCTTGCATGTGCTCTCCAGCTAGGGTCTGTCAGTTGTGTTTGTTGTGAGAGTCACGTTGCTTTAGGAATTTTTACGCCAGCATTTAGTAAATGGCAAAATAAAACAAGCTCGCTTAAGAATACAAATGAACATTGTTCACACACACACGTTTTGATTCTCTGCTGAGCAGACTTGGAATGAAAAGATTTTGAAAGGAAGTTTTCTTCGGTGAGTGTTGGATACTCATCGCAAGTGAGAAACTAGTTAAAATCCCATTACTGTCTCTCATTTCCTGTTAGCTTGAAAGATAAGACCGTGCTTCCAATATGGCCTTTATGTATCCCAGATTTTTTAATGCAAGTATAAATTATAGTTTAAATTCAAAGAAGCAAAGGGATACAGGCTCTGTATTTTCCACCCAGGTCTATAGGAATTGCTTTGCTGAAGGTACTGCAGCACTTCTTTCAATCAATCGGGCCTTTTGTCTGCAGATGGGGTATTGCATTCCCATTTGCAAAGTATGGGCCGTTTATTTTGTCTTTGTGTGCAACTTCTGCTGCTGTCTATGGGAAATGTGGGAGCTGATCAAGGACAGAATGGCCACATAAACTAAGATACTAGAATCATTTGTTAAGCGTGACAGCCTGCTGCTGGTGAAAACATCGGTTTCCAGTGTTTGTTCTTTTCTCTTGTCTCATGAAAAAGCATGAAGTGAGGCATGAGCATTTAAAGAGAAATATGGAAGTTAATTAAGGGATGTCAGTCTGAGGCTGCATGCCTTGATCCTGCTCAGATTTAAGCCAATGCAAATTTTGCTGTTCACTTCAAAGTGATAGCCGTGACATCATTCGTTGATCATGAGAGTTACTTCATATATAATCAAATAATCACATCAAGGGCTCAGTCCTGCAAGCTGCTAAAAAACTGTTGCACATTGAAGCCTTTCTGTTTGCAGAAATATGTTCAAAGAGGCTTGTACAAAGTATAGAAAAATGTGCAGAGGGATCAATGCTCTTGGAAACCTCAGTGCCCATATGGGAAGGGAAAAAAACCCAAACCACTCTTGATGACTGTGGTGGAGAGGAGGCATTGCCTGGTGTTGAAATGTCATCCAGTGCATTCAAATAACATGCACAATAGCCACTTAAAAGATTTTCATTTCCTTCTAATGCCAACCAGTTGGAGCAGTTTTCTCAAGAGCTCTTAACAGCAGAGCTTAAAAAATGGAGAGCAGGACTAGCCATGAATTTCATCTGGGAACGTGGCAATTTGGGCAGCAATGCTAATAAGGCAGAAGAATGGTCACAAATTCTGAAATAGATCCTGCTGGACAGAGCCTCAAATTATAAGGTAAAATTCTGGCTCTGCTGGCATGGGTGGGAAGCTTTCCTTGACTCTCAAACCAGATTTTGCCAATGTAGTCATGGGCTTCTCATTTAAATGTGTGGCATGTGTACAATTAACGCGTTTTTTTTTTTTCTCCAGGTTGCTAAAATATAAGGCTTAATGTGTTAGTATATAATTTCAAGCAATTAATGGTAAAATTAAAAGGGATAAAATATCCATACTTTTGTTTTTGCACGTCTAATTTGAGATTCGTATCATCCATAAATGTCAATGGAGAAAAAGACATCAAATAAAAAAGAAACAAAAAGTCTGCCACATCCACTTTGGCTGAGGCATTGCATTAGATAGTATTTCAGTACTGAACTTGCAAATATGTGAAATATGAGATTATGATAATAAATATTTAGCCATATTCTTGGTTATGTTTTTTTAAAGGTTAACAGTTTCATACTGAATGAAAAGCAAACAAACAGTGGTGAATTAAGAAGTTAAAACTGCATTCTCTGTGCGTGCCCACTGTGATAATACTTCCTTACATGACTATGCAATAAAACTCCCTTTCCCATATAGGCATCAGAAAAAGGAAAAGCCTTCCATAAAAGTACAAGTTGCACAGAAAACGGAAAAGTGTGGAACTGTGCAAGAGAAAACAGTAGTCTGGGATTGTTAAATTGTAATTAGTTACAAAGTAGTTCACCTAATTTAAATTTAAAAGACTATTTTTAATACTTTTGTTTCACTGCAGGTCTTTTTTTGTTCTGCCACTGATTAACCATAGTCCTCAGATGCCGAGGGCCAGATTTATCGTTGACTGCCTTACGGTAGCTAGCCTGAACTCAGTTTAGCATCTCACCCGCCGGCTCTTTTCCGTCACGTAGTTTCTCCATGGGCTGAGAAATAAATTCTGCATTGTGTTTCAAATTGTTCCAGAGGCTTAGACCAGTCACTAATCTTATTTCTGCTTCATGCTTTTGTCCCTTCAACAGAGCTGCAGGTTTAGAAGCTGGGCTGTCACGTTGCTGGCCATTTCCCGGTTTCTGGAAGTTAGCAGACACGCACCATTTCTCAGGCTTTTTCAAAACGAATCCTCCCTTTGGCTCATCTGTGTAAATGCTTAATTGCCTCAGTGCTGTGCCCTGTTCTGCCAAAATTTTGGTTCCTCTGTAAGAGGGGGAGTGCAAAGTTGCTGTAATTGCTGGCTGCAGGAGTAAACTCTTCCCCATCATAGAGAAAACTGCTACTGCCGGCAGTTAAAAGTTCCTTCGAGAGGGCGAATGTTTGCAGTCAATAATAATAGCTGCTTCTCACTCCCTCAGCTTAAAAGTGCATCTGCCAACATTTAACACTGATTTTTCTACCATTTCCCTATTCTCTATAAACTTGTTGGGAAACATTGCTCTACTGTGTAATCGAGTCAGTGGAGCAGGATCCCTCCTGTTGAGAGCTTTAGCTTTTGACAAATCCTGGGAAAATTTTTGTGCAAAGATAGATACTAAGATGGCTGGTGTGACCAACCATAGCACATTTGAACTCGCCTAATGAACCTGCCCTATGCCTACTGCAGGTCCTTCTCTGCCAGTGAAAATTCTTCGTACTTGGGATCAGGCAAAACACCTATGATTCCTACTCTCCACGGGGACTGGAGAAACAACTTGGGTCTCTTTCACCCCAAAGTTATTTGAACTGCAAACCCTCATCTGTCATGAATATTCTCTTTCGTATACAGGAAGTTTTATAACAAATTTTTTGCTTTGCATGAAGACACACCACATATCTTCAGTTCAGAAAAAATTAAGGTAAATATTTTTGTAAAAAATTCTTAGTGGCTTAGGAAAGATTAAACTCAGAAAACTCAGCAAAGAAAAATTAAGTGTTCTGGTTTATTCCAATTTTTCAGATCTGTAAAATATCTTGTTAATCCTCACAGCATATCTGCTTAACACTGGCAAGAATATTAGCTTTGCATTTCAGATTTTCACTTAGTTATTTTTAGTTCTTCTGAAGCCTGGGAAATAAGAAATATAACCGCTTTGAACAGTCTGAAAGAGCCAACTCTAGCAGGGCCTCTGAATCTGATTAGATAAAACAACAAAGAGGTTCTGTTAGGGCAGAGGCAGGAAGAACTAAGGTGGGTGGCAATATCTGTCATAACTCAGGGGAAATGTAGCCTCAAAGCACTCAAAAGTGGGTGAAAAAATAACATAAGCAATAGACAACTTTCCCACATCTTAGGTCACTCTCCAAATGCAGTTTGAAGAATTTTCTCTGGGCTCAACTTTTTTTTTTTTTTTTTTTTTTTTTTTGCATTTTTAAAGTACAATAAACAGCACATGCATGTGTGTTTATCTTAAAAAGCTAATTTAGGGGAACATCATTTCTCTGCAGATAAGTATCCGAAAAAGTGCAGTATGGCAAGTGTGATTACATTTGTCGATACAAGAACAGCATAAGATCTTAAGTGATAATTTGCAATGTTCAGCATTTTCCTCTG